CGCTGGCAATTACACCGTCCGTTTGCGCAATGATTCCGGGGATGTATCTGCGTCATTCATTGTGTACATCACAGGTAAAATTTCCTACTTAAGAGTGCCTGAGAGATGTGCGTTGATGCTTCAAACGCATTTATTTTAAGAATTCACTTTGCATTGGGAAGATTTAAGCTTTTTTCCGTTTTGAATATTCGGTGCAAAATACCGAAAAGTGCATTGTAATTTTTGATGAATGCTTCGAAAATATTACTTTTTAATTTTTACCGGAAAAAAATGCCTTATCAACTTTTGTACGCGCGGAAAAATTGGACTCTGAAGAATTCAAATGTCATTATGACCACCATTTATCGATCTTTTCATACAGGGAAAAATAAATTTTCATCGCGAGGGAGGAGGGGGGGGGGGTAAAACTATTAGCTGCATACATATTTTGTTTTTTTGTTTATGTTTGTTCTGAAATCCTGTTATTTTCTCTTTTGCTTTGGAAAAACATAGCTTTCGAATCTCGTGAAACTTTGTCACTGTACATTGAATGATTACGGTAAATTTGGAATTCTGTTCGTGATTTTTCCTCACAGGAATGCCTGGTCCTCCCGTGGGGCCTTTGGAGGTGTCCGACATCGACAGGCACACATGCACGCTGCACTGGAAACCACCTATTTACGACGGGGGAGTTCGCATCACTCATTACGTCGTCCTTGCAGCACTACACAGAAAACTTGTGACCCACCAACACGTGAGCAAGACGTTTCTCTGCTGTTCGTATCAAGTTCCTAATTGACTCTTGGTCCTTATAAACAAGGCCCAATACCGACAGTTGCTTTATGGGATGAGTGTGCCGCTCGAGGGCACGAACCCGATCCGTGCCAAGGCTCCTTTCGGTGAGAAGCATTATTTTTATTCAATTTCGATTCATAACAGAATATGAGCAGACCGTTTAACGTTGATAGAATTAGAGGCTTACGACGATATATATATATATATATAATCCCCGGAATTGAAAACGGATGATTTTGTTCAAGCTTAATTTTATGAAATGAAAAGCTTCTTCAAGTTTTGCAACTCTCCGGAAGACCAAAAGTTATTATGGAATTCAACGGCTCTCGATCGATTTGCAGACCCGCCGAGTGCACCAGGAATCCCGACTGTAACTGAAGTCGGTGGAGACTTCGTTAATTTGTTGTGGGATAAACCAGAGTCTGATGGTGGCTCAAGAATCCAGGGCTACTGGATTGACAAACGCGAAGCTGGTGGCATTAGTGATGTTTGGCATCGTGTGAACGTGGCGATTTCACAACGGTGCGTTTAGTTGCACAGAGTAAACTAACTTCTAGCTGTCATGCTCAAGGCGCAAAAACGCGTCTTACGACGACCTGAGTCGGGTGGAAGCGAACGAAGTTCGAGCTAGTTTTAGTTCCTCCCACGTGGTAATTATTTTTTTCATTATTTATCTTTTTCTTTCGTCTGACAACTAGATGAAGCAATATATGCGTAATATAGGATTAGGCAAACATTTGAATTCGCTGGCATATTCTTTGAGAGGATGGCATTTCAAGTGCTTAACCTGTGGGCTGTACTAATGCCTGCATTGCTGTCGAATGTTCCTTGTCCCTTCCTTCGATTTTCTTTAGGTTTCTTCATAATTAATCCAAGCACGCATGAAAAATACTACGTTTGTCTAACCTTACATTTCGCCCGTGGATCCTCAATCGTGCGTTTATCAGTGCTGCTGTTGCAGATTTTAATTTTAAAATATGCAAAAGTTTGTCGGTCTTTTTTTCCTGAGGTGATCCAGGTAGACTCTTTCTACAATATTGTCTGCAAAGATTTTTTTGTGTATTGTATAACGATTTTTTTTAGTCCCATCAGGTTTTTCACCCCGTATGGATTCTTTACAACGACTTTTTCTGGTCCCTTACTTTTTTTTTTTTTTGACATAGAGCCCCTCTGTTGTAAATTCTGTGTTGGATTGATGAGGCTGAAAATATTTTCAATCATCAAAATTTGTGATAATAGAAAAGGTCGACGTTGACGCGGCCTTTAGTAGGTCGGTAACTTCTCGCAAAACCGTCGCCTTTTGTTTTTCCGACTTAAGGTCACATGCTAATAACCTTTAGGATGAGGGTGTCAGTGAACGTAAGTTCTCGTCGCGAAGTGCTCAGCAGTAGCTTTGGAATGTGTATGAATTATTTTTTTTACACTTTTCTGTGAATTAATCTTTATTATTCTCAGTGAAACGCCGGGCTTTGCTTTCTGACATTTTAAGCAGGTGTCACCTGACTCCCTAATTTTTCAATTCCTGAATCAAAGTGGATTCAATGCGATTTACCTAAGTTCAGGTTAAATCTATGTGATGGTGAAGACAATTATAAAACTATGGAATGTGGGACGGTTAAGCATTTAATATGAACATTGTAGCCTGTATTTTCTATGGACTTACTCCTGATTGATCGTGTATTTTCAGGTACAAGGGTGCAAGGGAGTTGGTAAATTCGGCCAAGTATCTGTACTACTTCCTACCACTAGTAATGCACGAACAGTAAATACTACAAATGCCGCTTCTACGGCTGCTCATGAGCACGTCCCGTTAGTTGGGACCGCCTCACTTTAGGTGCGCACGGCTTGAGTAGTAAAAAAGTTAGTTTCTTAAATGCAGTAATTATTGTCTTTCCTACTTGTTAAAAACGATGAAGCATGAGTTTCTGGATTAAAGACCGGGTGTCTTCGCATTCATTTTCGGAGTAATCATTTTTTTTATTCCAGGCTGAAGAATATATTGTAATTCAATGTTGATGCCTAAAAATCTTTCAAATTCGAAACGCAAAAACTTTTTCAGATTTCCCCGTGAACTTGTCTCGAGTCGGGATGAAATTCAAAATTTTAATGTTTCAATAGTTTTCAACTTTCTGATACTGCGCAAATGTATTTAAAATTTTTCGATTTTCATTTAAAGCTCAGGGTAATCAGAAGAAGCAACAACGTTTCTAGCCGAAATTATGTAGCAGATTGTTTTCTCACGTTAGATAGATATTTACGTGCGAAGAATTGAGTTCATTTCGAGGAATTTAAGTTTGGAAATTCGTTATTCAAAGGGAATCCTTGAATACTGTTTCCTGCGTTTTACTGATTGTGATGATTTATATTTTTGCAGCTCCTCCAAAGTTCAACATTCCTCCGCGGTTCCGCGACACTGCGTTCTTCGACAAAGGCGAGAACGTTGTCATCAAGATTCCTTTCACGGGCAATCCCAAGCCAAGGATTGTGTGGTCCAAGGATGGAGAGGTTATCGAATCTGGAGCTCACTTCTCCGTCTCCAAGAAGGTAAATGTTGGAATCATGGGTCATTTTCCGATGTTTTTCAATGATTTTTTTCGATTGTATTTTTTAGGAGCGTCATGCAATTTTAGTGATCAAAGATGCTTCGCGGCTTGACAGCGGTCCTTACAGCATCGTAGGCGAAAATGAGCTCGGAATGGACTCACACATCATCAAAATCCAAATCAGCGGTAATTCTTATGAACTTTGTCTTTCGTTCGTGTGGACTTTCATATAGAATGTATAGATAACCCACCAGATATTTTCCTTTAATTCAGATTCTTTAAAACTGGAAAATATCAGATTTTAATTGGTTTGATAAACCTTTCCAAGCAAATGCTCCAAATTCAGTTCTGGAATAGCAGAAAATCTGTGAGAGCCAATGTTGGCTAAGAGGAAAGCGTAGGGAAAAATGTATGCCTGAATATGTCATAAATCTTGTCCCTTCGGCAGTTTAGGTAAGTTCCTTGTCTTGAGGCGAAAGAAGATAACCCGCGTAAGGCAATAAATTTCCCGCTCGAAAAAAAATGAAAGCTAATTCATGTACGGTAATCGACGCAGTTAAGTTGCTTTCAGTCAGATCTGCAAGTCGGTTTTTCTAAACCAATATTTCGGTTGTGTAATTTGATGTGAGAATGTATTCCCTGTTGATTAATGAAAAGGGGTTTCCGCTAAATGTGAGTAATAATTATTTTCACGCATTAAATTTTGAGCCTGTGCATCGGAGAAAATTATTGAGCTTTAAGAAGCATAAGACAAAATAATAATAATTTCGAACCGATTTCGGACAGAAGCGCGGAATTCCTATAGGCCAAGTGCGAGACCTTTTCAAAATGCCCACTTAATTTCAAGTCTAAATATCTCAGACTTGTGTCAAAGCAACAACAAAAACCCTCTTATACTCGATATATAGACCGTCCCGACCCACCGAAAATGCCGACGATCGAGAAGACTCTTCGGGACGGAGTTTTCCTCACGTGGCAGCCGCCTTCTTGGGACGGCGGCTCGCACGTCACCTCGTACATTGTGGAGCGTCGAGAGGAGCCCATGACTTCTTGGATTCGTTGTGGTACGACGCGGTTGACGAGCCATCAAGTGACGGAACTTTCTCCCGGTAAAACGTACGAGTTCCGTGTCATGGCGGAAAATGTTTACGGCCGCAGCGACCCGTCGGCCACGTCCAGGTCCGTGCATTTGCCGGACGTTGAGAAAAAGGACAAGTCGAAGAAACGATACGAATGTGAGTATAGCCGGATTGATTGATTTCGTTAAAAGCCCATCTTTTTGCTCGCGGAGGTGGTCGTTATTCAATTTTCTATGAATTGTTTTTCAGTTGACGAGACCGGGAAGAAAATCCGGGGACGAGCGGACGAGAAACCGAAAGACTATGATCAATTCGGTGAGCATTGCCGGTTTTGTTTTCTTGCTTGAAGTTTTAATTTATGCATCTTGAGAACGAGTAAATTTGTAATTCCTCGGCCATGTCTGAAACTGATCAAACATTAAAGTCGAGCTTCGATTGAAAAATGTCCCGTGTTCTAGGATTTTACAGTTTAATAAATATAGGAGGAAAATTCAAAATGTTTCTTCGATGAATGAGCATCGTGTTCAAGCAGTTCTGCATTTCCTTTTCGTTTCACTATAGAGGGCTCCTTTTTATTGTATATTTGACTGTTCACTGAAAGGGAAATCCAAAAATTTTTCAATTGAAAATTTAGAAGTTGAAATGGAACAAATGTGCATTTTGATGTTACACCGAAGAAAAATATCTAAGTTTAGTCAAGTGCTTAAATAACCTGGTCCAAAGCTTCTTTAATCGAATATAAAACAGCGCTGAACTAATTCTAATTAGCTTATTGCTTGAAAGATCAAACATAATGACTGACGATGAGTAATCAAACGAAAAATACCATTAATGAGCAGGGAGCATCGTACAAGTCAACTGGCGTTCAAAGATTATACCATCTACGAATACGTTTTTCGTTAGCCTTCAACCATCATTATACTGTACTTACAGAATGAAGAATGGCGACCGAATTATATTTTGTATCGCCCTATAACAATATCGACTTTCCACGTTTAGTCACTTTTCGCTGTTTAATAGCTTATATACTGGAAGAGCATCTGTCGATGTGCTCGGCATGTATGATAGAAAAAAGAAGCAAGGATAGGATTGATGATTCCCAATATATTTTTTAGTGTTCGACATCTACTCTCGATTTATGCCGCAACCGGTGGAGATCAAGGCCGACGTGAGTGTACACGATGACTACGAGATTCTAGAAGAAATCGGCTCTGGTGCGTTTGGCGTTGTTCACCGATGTCGCGAGCGGGCAACTGGACACATCTACGCTGCCAAATTTATCCCGGTGGCACACCCGATGGAAAGATCGTTGATCCGCAAAGAAATTGACATCATGAACCAGCTTCATCATCCCAAGCTCATTAACCTCCACGGGGCTTACGAGGACGACGACGAAATGGTCCTCATTTTCGAATTGTGAGTTTCGTGAACAATTCCGATGTGGATGATACTGATGAATGAGTATATACGTCTGTTGCAAGTGGGGGTGTCCAATATTGTAAAAACATTCAGCAATGACTTCCGATTAAAATGCGCTGTATTTTTATTTTGATTAATTATTGGGAGAGATCCGAATGCTCCCTAACATATCTTGATCATAGAAATTTTGTGCAGAAGTCTGGTCATTTTTTGATCCGCTGAGTCAGTAACAAAGCAGATTGAAAAATATATTTCCGGAGATAAAATGTGAGTTAAATTCAATTATTTCAGCTGCTTCAAGGAAGTGTATCCCGAGTAGCAAGAAATTCTTCCCCGATAAATTTTCTGCCGCATTCCAAATTGTTTTTACTGTAGCAGTGATTTTGGGGTTGAAACCACCCACTGATTCAATTATATCATTTGGCCGAACATAAAAACGTGCAGGAGCCAAGTTTTAAGACGCAGCATGACTGCCGTGTTTTAATTTCTGAAGTTTCGGACAGAACTGACGACTTCTATCTCCCGTGCAATAATCAAAAGTTTTCCATAGTAATCATAATATATTCTGTTGTTCGGAGAAAGTCAGTTTACAGCAAACAGACGGTATCAGAAATCTCAGTAATATGATGGAGTTTCCGTGTCCAGTACATAAACCAGAAAATGAATGCACAGGAAGCAGGGATTTCTCAATGGTGTTCTGTTATTCTTGAAATTTCCGTAATTTTTTTTATCATACGCACAATTTTTTTTACAATTTCGAAGCATTTTCTTCATACGTCGACTCTTTCGTGTATCTGCAATTCTGGGAATGCACCTTCTGTAAATAGATAGCGCAAATTTCGTAAAACGATGTGATTAATTTCGCCTGGATTTATTTTACAGTTTGAGTGGAGGAGAATTGTTCGAAAGGATCACCGCTGAAGGTTATACAATGTCGGAAGCAGAAGTCATCAATTACATGCGACAAATTTGCGAGGGTGTCAAGCATATGCACGAGAGGAACATCATCCATTTGGGTAATATGCAGAATTTTATTCTCTCGCATGTTGGGCAGTGGATTTAACTTCGCTGCCGGATTCTCTTCGTATAGATATCAAACCGGAGAACATCATGTGTCAGACACAGAGGACAACTAACGTGAAATTAATCGATTTCGGGTTGGCGACCAAACTCGATCCGAACGACGTGGTGAAAATTTCAACTGGAACAGCTGAATTCGCTGCTCCTGAAATTGTTGAAAGGGAACCAGTCGGTTTCTACACGGATATGTGGGCTGTTGGCGTTCTTGCCTACGTTCTGTGAGTCAAACGTCGTAAATTTGTTTTTCATCAGCGTCTTCTACATGAACGAGATCTCTGACGATCACATACAAGATGTGTCTTTTCCGCGCGCAAGAAAATTAAATTTTGAAAGGATCAAAGCCGCATTTTAGGCGGAAAAAGAGCAGTTAAAATGAACAGATAATACCGAAATGATTATATGTGGAGATTACCTGTCATCGATTTTTTTCCGCGTACCAGATTTGCTGCCATGCTGGACTAAATAGAGAACGGGGGTTATTATTGTTTGGCCATTACCTCTTCTGTTCATGCATAACTTTGAGTTGAAGATCGAAAAACATTTTATTCAATGTTTTAAAATACAGTAGTGCCTCATACAACAGACCATAATCTCCTCCAGAACATGAGTCAAGCACGAGAAGTTTACTGTTGAAAATAAAGGTGGGGGTGAAAACGTAATAAAGTCGGCATTTACGGTCGTATTTGTAAATTTTTTGGGTAGAGTGGGCTAACATTCTTGACAGAAAAAAAATCGAAAACCTACCAAAATCTTAAATTCAAAGAAATTCTTCGACATGAAAGTCTTGGTCAATTTTTCACAATTTTGCGGGCTGAAATCAGACGGGCCTGTTTTGTAAAGAAAATATGTGTTTACCCTCATGAAAACGTCACTGAAATTTACCCTAAGATATTTTGTCAATACTGTACCTGTATAGGTTGAGTGGATTGTCGCCGTTTGCGGGTGAAAATGACATTGACACGCTCAAGAATGTGAAGGCCTGCGACTGGGATTTCGATGAAGAGGCTTTTGCTCACGTGTCCGAAGAGGGCAAGGACTTCATTCGCAGACTTTTGGTGAAAAGCAAAGAGTAAGTGACTGCAAACTAGATGCTTCAAAGTAAGAAATAACTCCAATTTTGCCAACTCGATTCGGACTGAGCATATGTCACATTATTTACGATTACTTGTAGATGCTGACAACCCTTTTTAATGCTCAAATATCAATACTGTACTGTGCACAGCACAGAGATGTCTGAAGCTCATTGAATAAGAAAAACTATCTTCTCAAGTTTTCAATAATGATTAAAATCGTAGAGAATTTTTGGTACAATTTTATCTCATTTCAACGATCGGATTTATTGCCATTGCACACAAAAACAGCCCACCTCACGCATGACGGGATGCTGACATTTTTCTTATTATTTTTATGTTTAATCAATTGGATTTTTAGAGTACAAAATGCAAAAACATTCCTCGGAATTCTTGTCGCACGCTCATTAAATTATTTTCAGGAAACGTATGACAGCGCATGAGTGTTTGATACACGCATGGCTGAAAGGGGAGAGCAAAGCTGGAGCGGAAAGCGTCGGGACTGGGCGACATCTGGCGTACAGGGACAAACTGCGAGCTAAAATTCCCAATTGGGACACATTTCTTCTCCCCATTGGTCGCCTGGCAGAATACTCTTCCCTGCGTCAATTATACGTCGAGAAGTACAAGATACACGAGTTCTTTATTGGTCAGTATGCTTTTCAAATTTGTTGCTTGACGATAAGCTCATTATTGCGATTTTTTTAATAGTCAAACTTGCGTTCGTCATTTTTTTGATGTTGTAAAGCTCGTGGTGAAATTGAATCCATGTCAAATGCAGAGGGAAATCTACCCTTCTTAAAGAAAAAATCCCATGCAGGACGCTGCAGTTTATATATGTTGATTTTGTAAAAACGTCCTTGTTAGGTTCTTTATATTTATGGAAAAACTTGGTATGATTTACAATGTGTTCGAAGATGAAATTTTTTTGTAACCAAAAAACGGAATGAATCTGGAAGTTGTTATTGAAAACGTTTGTCAAGAATATGCTTGTTTTAAACCTTGGAGCAGTGTAGGGGAAAATTCGTACGAATACTGTAACGCCAAGTCTTTGTGGAGGATCATCGTTGGAACATGTGAACTTTAAAATTTTTTGCGCCTTTACCATCAAATTCAAGGTACTACTGTATATGTTAAACATATTTTTTATTTCTCATTTTCAACGAGCACTTATGAATAGCTAAGAGAGTTTTCCAGTTTAAAATAGTGTACAGTATTATCAATTATCTAATTTTTGTCTAAATAAGTATAATTTGTAATCATACTGATTATGGATGATTATTTATTCATAAGCCTCTGCCTTATATTATGGTTTGTGGGTGAATCGCAAGACTTGAAAAAAACGAGACTTCTTATTCATTTAGCAGGAGTTATCCGTCTTTGGTGAGGATTTCAGACTTTGCCGCATTGCAAACAGTATAGTGAGGCTTTTTAGGCCCTGTCTCTTGTTCAGGAAAAATCAAATTTAATCCACTTTCTCATGACTGACATAATTATCCTACATTTATGATTTGACTTTTTTTTTTGTAGACCGTCGCCAGGCTGCGCCGCGGTTTGTCATCAGACCTCAGAGCACATTTGCTTTCGAAGGCCAGAGCGCAAAGTTCTCTTGTCGCGTTATTGCCGTTGCTCCCGCTACAGTTTCCTGGTACCACAACAACGCCGAGTTGCGGCAGTCGGTCAAATACATGAAACGCTACCTGATCGACGATTACACGTTTGTCATCAACCGCGTGAAACTGGAGGACAGAGGAGAGTACATCATCAGGGCTGAGAACCATTACGGCGCCCGAGAAGAACCCGTGTTTCTCAACGTGCAACGTATGTTTTTACCTGAATTACAGTCGAACCTCGTTAATAAGACACCACCATTTTTTCGTGAGGGTTATTTGTCACGTTTGTGGAGGGCTTCAAGGGGGCTGATGGTTCATCAAAAAAGCTAAAGTAATATGAAAATAAATAAAATATGAAAGTAATTAAGTACTGTATAATAGGAAATTAAATTCGTATTCTTCTTGACAGAAATCGAAATATTGTACCCTCGTATGTGGGAATTATATCCAGCTAATCTTCCCAAGAAGTAAATCATGTCGTCTTCGTGTTAGTGTTTTTTTTTATTGCAGACCTCTCCCAAGAATTTTAATTTTGTCGGCTGGCTATCGAATACAAAAAAATTAATTAGCTGGAGCACTAGTTCAGTTTTCAGTAGTTTTAGCGGATGGCTTTTTAACGGGGTTTCCGATAATATCATCATTAGGGACGATTTTTTTAATTTATCGGCAGTTGCCGAGGGTGGCAGCTTAACGTGGTTGGACTGTATCTGTCATCACAAGCTTGACGTATTTGTTGCATTCATGTGTGGTTTTTTTGCATTTTATTTGAAGCGGTTCCGACGGATGTGTCTATTGTGAAACCGGATCTCGGCGTGCAAAGGAAAAGACAGCCACTAGAAATCAAGAATCTTTGGCAGGAAGCCCGTGATTCTGCTCCGTGTTTCACGTTCTTGTTGCGGCCCCGTGTCATTCAAGTTGGCAGCAGTGTTAAATTGCTATGTTGCTTGAGTGGCAAACCAACTCCTGACGTGAGCTTTTTTTTTTTTACTGCTTTTTTCGCACTATTCATTTCTTTACACTTGACTAAAAGAAGGAGTTTCTTCTCGACGATATGATCTGAGTAGGAGGAATCGTGTTTAACTCTTGGTATTGATCCCATCTGGAAAACTATGAAATCCATGAAAGGTTTAGGATATGTCTAAAAATGAATCGGTGAGTGTAAAAATGTCCTGGTTAGGGAAACTATCCGTAACTCTTCTGGTCAAGAGGATAAAATTTTCAAAAATTCGCGGAACGATAATTTTTGGAATAATGGAGTCCCTAAATCTTCATAAAGATGAGCGAGGCATTGATGCAAAAAGACTCACTTTTGCCCGTGAAGTGGAACTGAAGAATCAAGTCAAGGGTTAATGTGGGAATTTGAATCATCAATGACTGTTCTTTAGAAATTTTGAAGCGACATCTGCGTGTAGGACTTCAATCCTTTTGTGATTATGCCGAAGTTAGGAAATGTAGCGCTGTACTGTGTATATGAATAGAAAAGTTCCGCTAATGCATATTTTCTCTCTTCAATGACAGTTTCTTTTCATAATTTAAGAATACTGTGGTTTATGAACGTCTTTTGTATTTTCTTAGGTCAAATGGTTCAAAGGCAGTCAAGAACTTTCTAAGTATGAGTACGCGATGACTCATTCTGATGGCGTAGTAACCATGGAAATCACTAACTGCCGAGTGCAAGATTCTGGAAAATATCGATGCGAAGCGAAGAACACGCTTGGTTCAGACGAGACAAATTGTGTTGTGATTGTTGAAGGTAAGACACTCTGGCAAGCCCCCAAAGTTCGGTGAATCCCAACGCAAAACACTCTCGCATTTTTTGTGGGAATCTTCTGCACGTTTGTGTACGAGGGCACTTTACTGACCTGCTGGGTATTTATGATGATCATGCCTAAAGAACGTTTTCTATATACGGTATTCAAGGCACCTCATTGATAATCGCTACCGTACTGTGCGAGAGTTGGTTCAGAAATTTTGTCAGTCCTGTTCGTCCCTTCGTTGGATGAACAGTATATATACTATACTTACACAGTAATATTATGATTATTTTTACGAATAGAAAAATGTTAACATTTGTCAGCTGCCTAGTATCCAAAAAAGTTAAGAAATATGTCAACAACTGTAATTAGAAAAAACTTCACTTGTGTTGCAGATCGCGAACATCCACTTCCCATGGAAAAATGTTTTGATCACTGTCACTTTTGCTGATGTGAGGTAAAGTGTTGAAAATAGTGAAGTCTACTGTGTATGAAATAACAGATATTTGTCACATACTGTACTTGAATAATATCCTTCGTAATACGAAAGGTGGCTTGAAATGACGATTGGTGATTGAAGCATTGATATAAAGTTAGAACTGCCATTGAGAAAATCCTTAGTAAATGAACATTCAGAGGAATTCTTCAAGTATTCTTATTTATTCCACTGTGGTTTTATATAATTTAGTCCCGGAAAGTCATCAAAAGCCAAAAAAACTTGATTTCAATTAAATTTTTAGTGCTGACAAACCTTTTGAACCATTCCTCGTGCCCCCCTCATAGGGTTAAGGCGGAGACTTGTGCATGTTATTCTCATTGATTTGACGTTTTCTTGGTTTCGTTCTGTTCTGCTTTGCGATTTTGTGAAGGTGGGAAAGAATCGAGTGGGCAGCTGCAGCATCTCTTGAAAGATGCCCATGTAAAAGGTATTCTTCTTTCACAACTCGTGAATTCGTTCACTTTTTGAAAGCTACTTTTTATCTAGGTTTCAGAAAGAATTGCGTGATTGTTTCGTTTCAATATTTCTTCTTACAAGAAGTTGTTCTGCTTTGAACCGCTCGCATGTTTTAGTCGTAGCATTGGCATTAACTTTTAAATAGAATGTAGAATATCACTTACTTTGGCAGTTTCGTGGAATGTCGAATCTCACTTGCGCATTTTAGTGGATCAAGTGCTGTAGATGTAGATCGACGTCGATTTATTTATTTATTTTTGTATCACAATTTTTTCTAGGATTGTGGATTTTATTCTTAGGATACTACGTTTGCGTTTTTTGAAAATTTCTGTTGGACGAGGTAGTGACTGAATATTTAATGTGCAGATCGGAGGTTTGACCCGACGAAATATTCTTCGTCTGAGCTGGATGCGATAAAGGAAACAAAAATCTCGTCTACATATCAATCGTCTTTCGAATCCCACACGGTGAGAAACGTTTACTTTTCTTACGAACTTCCAAGAAGCGTTCATCTCCAAAATGTTTCGTCGTGTGCGATGTGCCAACAGTCATTGAATGAAGTCAGTAACTTTATTTTTGAGTTATCACAATTCCGAAAACGAATCCTAACAATCTTATAAAATGTTTTTTAAGATGTGTTTAATTACGCTATAATTTCTGCATGGATTTATATTCCGAAAAAAAGTTCACTTGAGCAAGATCTTTCGATACAATTTTGATTTTGAAGGAACGGGCAGATACGAGGCTCGGTGCAGTTCGTTTTTTAAATATTTTTTTTTACAATTAGAAATGTATTGAGCCGAGAGGAAATGATTCGATTGTTTGAAAATTTTATAAAGCAATTCTAATTCCGTGATTATTTCTAAACGAAATAGTATGAAAGATGCGAATACATTTTTTAAATAGGAATTTCTCATAATTCCTGCGACAGTCAAAGTACCGTATTAATTGGAGTACCACGTGCCCTCGAGTGAGACATGCGCCCCGATTTTTGTAACTGAAAAACTACATACAATATTTCAGAAAAAAAGAGACACCGAAATTAATATTTTAGCATTTTTTCAACCTGAATTCAATTAATTTTCAATTATTTGGATTTGTAAAAAGTTTCTGTTAGCAATTTTTAAACTACTGTAGATTCGATTGTGACGCACTCTTGAAATTCTAACACATTTTCTCCCCGCCTATGACGGGCACCTTATTTTTCTTCTCGATTTAGGGAAAAAAGGGGCACGTGGTATTCGAGTAAATACGATCGAGTGGATGAAACCTGATGGTCAATTTCAAATAATGTATCAAATATGTTAACTGATGCATTATTATACCAAGGTTTTTCTCCGCGTTTCCCCACAGGAGACTGCAATGGGTCGAACATCAATGACGCGATCTTCGATGTCACGTTCTTCAGTGAAGAGCAAGTCAACCCTAACCACGAAGACGGAGCAGCGTGCCTATGGTGGAGCCGGGTCACGATCCCGCACTGCGACTCAAGAACTCGCACGTCAGTCACCGCGATAATGAAGCTCCTCCTCTCCCCTCTTCCCAATTAAACCCCCCTCCCGCCCACATAAGAGTGATATTCGCCGAAATTATTTTATTTTTTATTTGGCAACCCGCCTTTTTTTCACCCCGCCAAGCACTCACGCCGCGGCCGTAGTGAAAAGTTTTTCATCCGCTGACCGATCGACGACGATGACTCTTATATACTAACAACTATATTCATCCTTTATTTCGCACGATTTCTTCTGCGAATGTTGCTTTATTCAGGTTCTGGTTTCTGGGGCTGCATTTCTGAGAGCGAGAGAAGTCTTCTCAAAAAATTTTTCTCGACTGTTGAAGAGGCTTCTTCTAAGCTCAGTTCATTCTTTCGACCTTCAATAATTGTGTTCACGTACACATCGAATTTTCTTGTTCCTCTGGAAACCAGCATCTGGAATTGCTGCATGCTAACATTGACGACTCGAGCGGGGGATGCAGAAAAAAAAGAAAAACTAACGAACGATTCATGCAAATTTTCGAAAGAGGAAGGAAGAGGAATAAATGATTGTACAAATGAAACAAGGCACGTTTCCTGGCAGACGGGAGGATTGCTTGGGAATAGCGAGGATTGGCATGGAAGCTCGTTCTTTCAATTTTTTGCAAAATTGTTGTTGATAATATGTGTATCGCGTTAAAATCATGCTTTACAGAAATAGCTCCGTAAAACAAGCGAAGTCAATTTTTTTGTGCCTCCAGCCTCACTTGAGCAGTTTACATTTTATATTTGGATTACTCCACAGTACTGTAGCTGCTATTTTATGGCACTTCGAATTTTGACATATGAAAGCATGAAAGCATTTTTCTTGAAGAAAAATCTGTTGTCATGGAAATTCATTTATCAAGATTTTTATTAGTTTTTTTCTTGGCAAAGAAACAAAGTTTGGCAAAGCTTTTTTTTTAGTTTGAGTGTGGATGACATCAGTGACTGCACTGATGGAACTTGGCATGACTCCGAACAAGTACTGTATACATGAAATTATAGCATGAGTTTTTGCTATCCGGCGACATCTACCCCGATTGAGACACTGAGTCATAGCATAATGAACAAATCAGCAACATTCATATATTTATTAGGGTTTATGCAGAGGGAGCTTTCAAGACTTCTCCTCGCATTACCGCGCTTTTCTTCCTGTTGTGTTTGTATTTTTGCGTTGTCGATGAGCTTGTGTGCTGGCGGTTGTTCTTCTCCCTGCCCCGTCGTTTTTCTCTCTCTCGTCTCTTGTCCTCCCAGTTGAACTGTGAATGTTTTTTTGCTTGACGTAAATCTTGCTCCCGGGGATGTGTTGTGGAATTGTGGGGAAGATATGAGTTTATGGGACGCTCTGACCTGGGTTTTTCACTGGCCAGTGCCATCGGATGCCGCCATGTGCGCGCCCACGTTCTCGACGGCGCTGCAGGACGTGAGTGTGAAGGACGGCGAGGCGGTGCATCTCTGTTGCCTGATCGCCGGCGATCCTGAGCCACATGTCGAGTGGTTCAAGGACGAGGAGGTGAGATTTTTGGGTCTTGATTCTCAGGTTGTTATCGCAAGAAATAAATTTCCGTTGATGAGCATTCAAATAATTAAATCACAGAAATCCCTCAAGTCGAGAAGTCTCCTAATCCTTTTTTTTTTTTTTTTTTGGAGTGATGGCAATAACTCGTGAAAAGTGACGTACAACACTGCCGTGACTTCCAGTGACATCTATAACCGTTACGAAAATGATTCACCCATAGTGCACGAAGCAGCTGAGGCGAAATTATAAATGGCAATTTTTCCACGTATTCGAAACATTTTCGAATGCGTCGGAAGTCTCGAATCGCCTATATTTCTTGCCTTCTTACGAAGTTAGAAGTTTGCATGGAAGGACTTCCGCGTCGAAGCCCCGACGTGCTTCTAAATTTGGTGCAGGAAATGAAGAGTATTTCGTGTTTCTATCTGTGGTGTCTGGACAACAGTATTTTGCTGTTATACGATATTATTTCCTCTTTAATCTTTTATTGTGCAGTTGCTACATTCTTCGGATATCCTGGAGCTGAAATACCGTAGTGGACAGGCGACATTGTCCATCAACGAGGCATTCCCGGAAGACGAAGGAAAATACGTTTGCCGCGCCACAAATCCGCTGGGCACCAAGGAAACCTCGTGTCGACTCAAAGTTCAACGTTGGTCCCATTCACGTTCTTTTGCAGCCATCGATTAATTCAGAATATGACGAACATGTTTTTATGAGGCATCTGGTTCATGTTGCTTTTCTTTTTTTTTTAGCGATGGAACGGAATGGGAAGAAGTCATCTGGCAAGAAATCGTCCGACAAGTTGCCAAGATTCGCGGATAACCTCAAGTCCATGGTTGTGAAAGACGGAGATGCTGTGAAGCTTTCCTGCAAGGTCATCGGTGAGTCATTTTCATCACCCATTTTGATTGTTCAAAATTCAAATACTTGCAGTTGCCTTTGTTTTTTTCAAGAGAGGAAAAGCTATGAATTCTCTCATTCTCACATCCGAGTTTCAAGTTTTATATATGCCTTGTATGGATATTGAATCCTACTCAAAAACGCTCTCTTGGTGGGAGGAAAATGTTCAATGAGATTTTTGTTTTTGTAATGGGTGAACATTTCGAATCATTCTCGTATGTTGCCACTTTCACTTGCGAACAAAATATCTTTGATGCCATGACGTGAATCAAGATCGGAAAAATGTTGATGCGGCACTACAGTATATAAACTGAAGAATGACGTTTCAATTGTTGCATTTTATTTAAAAGTATACATTTTTTTGGGAGGAGCTTTTTCTCGTGCGTATTCAAGAAATTTTAAAACCTGATACTGGGATCAAAAAATCAGTCGCCAATTTTTCCTTACTGTGAAAAAATCATGGTCATACTGTGAGTTTGTTGTGATGAGATTTGTTCTCAATTTTGAAAGAGACGATTTTGAACGCGTTTATTCCAGGAGCGAAGAAGTTTGACGTGGTGTGGTTACACAACGATAAAGAGATCAAACCGAGCAAGGACTTCGAATACGTCACCGGCAGCGACGGGGAACGAGGCTTGAACATCGCCGAGATTTTCCCCGAAGACGCTGGTGTTTACACTTGCGAAGCTTTCAACGACTGTGGCGAGGCCTTTTCTACTTGTACCCTTATTGTTGCCGGTGAGTTTTTAGCGAACGTTTCTTTGTTTCCAACGTGATTATAGCTTGACCCAGGATTATGAGAGCTCCTGATTTAAATGGTATTCATTTGAATGAATGCAAAATCAAAATCTTGATCCAAAAATTGAACACTGCATCAGTCAATCAGCAGTTTTATGATTAATTTGAAAGAATTCAAAAAATCCCATTTGTTTGCCGAACTGTTATTTTTTTAATGAAATTGGTTGAGATATTCTAAGAAATGGAGATTCGGGTAAATTCACAAGATAAAAATTAGAAGATACATTTAAAAATGGATGGAAAAACTGTAGAAAGAATCTTGGATTCTTAACTGCCGTTTACAAGTTTGCTAAAAAAAAATTTTGCTTTTTATTTAATTCTTCGTAGCTCCGTTACATGCAACAGTAATGCAACAAGACCATTATTATATTTTTGAACTGTTTTAGTTTTCTGTGAAGGCTTGATGGTTTGTCGAGCTCCGATGAGTTCCAAGATTTTCAAACGTTTAAGTTTAGTAGGAACACATTCTGCTTCAATTTCTTATTTTTCATGGTGTCACTCATTTGTTCCAATTTTTATTTTTGGTTTTCCGTTGTCTAACTTCGCAACGGAGTTGACTCAATCATGGTGCATTCAATTTTTTGCTGCTTTGTATTTTTATTTCAGTGCCAAATGAAGAGTCTCCAAACCCTGGAATTTCCGTTTACCCCTGTTCAACAACGGTCCAAGAAGGGAAGAGCGCTTCTTTCCGTGTTGAAGCTGAAAAAGTGCCTCAAAAGGGTGAGTCATTTATTGGTATAGCCTGTAACAGCACAAATGGTGCTGATGAATGTTATTTGGTTATTGTCTATGTTTCTCGCGGTTAGGAAATCAATTTAAAATATTGCTTCTCATGCAAGGGATGGCTGGGGAGTTCGGTCACTGACTTGAAATTATTTGGGTGTTGGAACTTTTAGAATCCTGAAACTTAGATTTGGTAGTTCAGCAGGGCACTGCTAGGCCGCGTTTTATTCTTCTTTGCAGTGACATCTACATTCTTGTGAGAAAGTAGCCTACAGCAGTATTCACAACCTGAAAGTAGATATTACTGCTGGAGTGTACTTCTCATTCCCTGTCCCGTGCATTTGATCTTTGTTTCTTCAGTAAAAAAAGTATACTAATCAGCATCATCCATATTCTTTTGAGTTGAAAGAAAAATTGATACTGCACTTTGTGAGTAAGTTTTTATGCGATGGATGAGTGTTCGATGACAACGTACAAATTTTTTTTTAGAATCCGTAGGAAGTTACGAAAATTTATACCATGTTTGACCTTGTGTGTGGCGCTGAATACGCTGTGATAATCTTCCATTTGTGAATTTTTCTTTCTACAAAATTCAGTGACCTGGATGAGAGACGGGAAACCGTTGGACGAACAAAACTCGCACTACAAATTCTCTCAGGAAGGCAAGCGTAAATACATCTTCGAAATCCCGGGTGCGCTCGTCACGGATGTGGGCCAATACGCCGCTGTTGTTGCTGGCAAGAAGGGAGAGACCAGGGCTGCATTTTCGCTCAACGTCTACACGCAAGACGACCTCTAGTTTCATTCATAAGTTTGTTGCCCTTTCCCCGTGCCTTATTTTAAAGCGATATAACAAGCAAATCGAAATCATTGCTTTTTTTTCTTTTGTTGTTGTGTGTTTGAAGAGAAGTTTCTTGTGCTGCCTGGAATCGAAGCACAGATTATTTGTTCTCTCTCTTCTTTTTTTTGAGCGTGCTGATGGGATTAGGAATTGTCTAGTAGAATAAGTGATGTTACCTTTTGGCTTTTATTCGGTTTTTTCGGTGAGTTCCCGAATTGTTGTGGAATGTTCACGGTACCCGAGATGGTTGGCAGTGGTATGTTGATCCCTCTGAATACGCAGTTTTTGTTTGGGGAAATAACTTCAATTCCTAAATTAGGATTTGCATCACAAGGAGTCGCAGCGAAGTTCCTTAAACTGAAAACTACGAATTCCCAAGAGAGACATCTTGGAAAAGTTACCGCGGGGATGGTGGAGAGCGAAATTGTTGAGCTCGTTTTTTGCGCGTTTGTGTGACACTGCCGAGTTTTGCCCGTCTTTGAACCTACTTCGTGTAATGCTTCCTGACCAAAGTTTCCTTCATTTGGATGCGGTTTCAATGAGTGATGGAAGAGGAGGAAAATAACTGGGAGTAATAGAATGAGAGAATGTCAATACTGTGAATGAACATGAAAGAAAAATAAATATATAGAATTTCAATCAAATTAGGAGTCCATATTTTATTTTTTCAAGCTAATAAATAATGAGATTGCATCTTAATCATCTTTGCAGCAACATCTTACCCTACTAATGAGAAGATAGAAGTATTCAAGACACAAAAGCTTGCTTTCACCCAATTTTTGTTCGGCTGTACAAGAAAACTTTTTTCAGTGGCTTATGGAAACGTGATTTTCTTACAAGAGTATGTTTGTTCTCTGGTTATGAATTATTACTTTTTCATTATCCCTTTGACAAAAATTTTCAAAAAAGTCTGGAAACATTTCCCGATACCATCAATTAATTCTCAGAACAGAGGAAAAGTGTCACTCATCTAGCTGATTATGTGAACCGTAGATTTGACATGTCACCTCTAAATCGAGGGTAAAAAGCACTTCATCTTTCACAGCATAAATAAGGATTAAAATGCACAGGCAACGAATAGCAGTGCTTTAATTTACCAAGCGAGCTCCACTTGCGGTGTCGTACAAAACCTCAAGAAATGCAACAAAATCGAGCCTTTTCTTTACATTTGAACTTCCATTTTCGAAAGCTGGAGAGTTCCAACCAGGGAATAGGCTCAAAGGAAATAATAAAAATCAAGTTACACCAAGACAAATGGACAGTCAGAAGGAGGCACGGAAATTAACTCATAAGAGACGTCAAACAATTTCACGGTTTGACAAACCGTGAATACCCCTTTTTGGAAAGAACTCCCAACTTGCAAAAAATGAAAACTGACGATTTTACCGGCCAGAAAAAAAAACCGCGCATATCAACCGCTTTGGTACCTGACAAAAACACACCCACAAAAAAAGCCCTGCAAGTTTCTTTCGGCAAGTGATAACATAAGCCTACGCGTAAGTCCAGTAAAAAAGTTGATGAAAATACATCAAAAAACGAGCCACATCCAGGAAAAAAACAATCATGCAAAAAAATCTCAAGATACTTAGATTACTCCACTCCTAAACTGTTACTTTCAATGGCGGGAAACAATACTTTTTTGAAACGCCACGCGTCCTTTAGCATGTGTTTCCGCAGAGCCCACAACGCACCCGTCAAAGAACCTCCGTGTCTTGTAGCAACGACGCCTTTTGGGCGAGGGTCGGATAACCAGTGGTACGGCAAGGTGTGCTCACTAGGGGCGCCGTTTACAGACGGCACAGATCCGACCGCCACTGTGTTCGCCCGCGTGGCTTTCAACGTCTTCTCGAAATCCGTTATCGTCATCCTATCCGCCTTCAAATTCTCGATATACCTGCCGAGGAAAAAATATATAAATTCATTTACATCGCGGTAGAAAACTAGAAATGCCAAAGCAAAAATGAAATGCTTTGCAGATTCAAAATTAATGAAAACATCTTTTCATTAATGTAATCAAATTATGTCTGCTATGTCAGAGAATTTACTTGTTCAGTCATAAGCTCATGATGTAATAGTCAATGTTTCAACCTATTTAAGCCTTGAGACTGTCTTTCCGTTGTCTTCATTTGATAACCTAGTGAAATTAACGAGATGTTTTTACAAGAGAGGGAGAAAGAGTCTTTGGTAATCATATATTTTCCAAAAACTCCTTAGAACACATTATTTGATACTAAACTGGAATAAAGGAGATCGAGTCTCCTCTGAGTGTTTCACTGATGCAAAAGTTCTGCTAACTCTTGAAAATATGCGAAGAGAAAAAAATCTCCAAGTTAAAGGGATATTTAAGGCGTAAAACTGACTGTTGTAAGAAAAAAAAACGTTTTGTTTCAAAAATGAATCAAGGAATTCTATCTCTTGAATTCTCATACCATCTGAGGATTTCAAATAACACAGTAGAGTATATTTTCTGCACTACACAGTGTGCGTCTCAAATAACTTTTCCGCAAGCAGTTCTACTCTCTTGAGCTATCAATCTCAAAGATTCGTTGCTCCTGCTGATTTTCTGCGCAGAACATCAATTTTTCTCCCCGAAGACCATTGAAACTCGCGTCAAGATCAAAGATCAAACCAATACTGTACTGTAAATCCTTTCCAATAATTCAGAAATTGACAAAAAATGCTGGTACTGTAAACTCGATCTGCTTAGTTTTTGGGTGCAAATACCCCCGTATTATATCAATTTTAAGCGGAGTGGGAAAAACTCGAAGTTATCAAGAAAATATCATTTGTTTCTCTTGAAAAACTTGTTACAAACCATACCCATCCCTCAAGCTTTCAACAAGGGATGCAGAAGACTGACCAGGATTTAATCACTGCATGATTAGGAAAAAGTTGAAATGAAATGACACGACCTCTTACCTCAAATAAATTTCTGAATGGATCAAACGGCTGACTTTTGGAGCGGGTACGAAAATCGGTTCCATGGGTCGTTGGAGATGTTGTTGATTGATGCCCTGTTGACCGCCCATATTCACTTGCTGAACCGGACTTTGAGGACCCACCGGCGGCGGTGAATAAACTGCACGAAAATCATCAGCAATGCCGAACAATTCATGAATCCACAAGAAAGAAAGCATCACAGTTGAACTCACGGCTTTCCAACCTTTTCCCATGCTAGTTTCCAATTTCCCAAAAGTGCATTACTGTATCATCACACAACCTTATGAGTGAATACCATGAATGATTTGAATCAAATACGGTACTTAACAGTTCGAGCTTGCTTCAAATTTTTCAACCATAAAATTCCATCCTAATCAAGCTTTTCATAACATGAAAAATTAGCATTGCGTGAAGTATACAGCATGACATTTTTCTCACGATTTCTTCTCTTCATTTGAGAATTTAGCAATGACTCCTTTCTATCCACTAACAAATATCTTGGACGAATATTTCTTTATTTCAAAGAACCCACAGGTCTAAATGAATTATTGACTTCGGACGGAAGTACTCCTTACACATCTTGCTTTAGTTTCATATGATTTCTCAAGATCAGCACATTGTTCAGGACTTTCAAGCTAGGAATGTTCAATATAAAAGAAATTGCTCAAGAAAAATTATTAAACGTCCTAAATAATCTTTTGATGAAGCTCTTTACAGCATTTATCAACATCGAACAAAATTCCAGCCCTAAATGTGTTCAAAAAACAACTCTCATTACATTAAAATTAATTTTGCCCAGGTCCTTCAGAGAGTAATGTAATGTGAAACGATGTTATTATATTCATTGAATTACCCACGTAATCAACTTATATCCCAATGACGTACAAGAACTTAAAGGTACGCCAGGTTGAAAAGGCCCTGGTACAACTCGCAGGAATTAAAAAACAGAAATTCTACAAGAAAAAACAACTTCCGACATATGCGTAAATAACATACTTCAAGTACTTGACACGAGAAGAAAACAAAAAGGAAGAATGAGAAAAAAGGCAAATGAATGTCTACCATGACCATGCACGTGCTGTTGCTGCTTGATGACCACCCCGCCGCCATTCATGTGTGTCGTCATCATCGGCGACGAGGATCCATACGGCGTTCTCATAGGCGTCCCTTGAATAGTCATACCCTGCACTGTTTGGTGATATTGTGGCGGAATTCCTTGCGGCAAGCCCTGAACCTGCTGGTGATGATGGTGGTGGTGGTGCTGATGGTGTTGTTGGTGGTGGTGGTGGTGCCCCACCTGGCCCTGAGAGTAGAATGGCCCGCCCAGCTGCCCTTGGAAACTCACTACTCGCGACAGCAACGTTCCAAAAACAACCAAAAAAGGCAACAAACCAAAACAACAATTTTACGAACTGAAACCATTTTTCTTAAAAACGAAACACGCGTGCAAGCCACCCAAATCTCAATAATAATAATAACGCTACAAATCACTCACTTCCGGGATTTATTTTCGTCGTCGTGGTCTGAGTAATAAATTTCGGCTTCGTCTTTGACGGGAAAAAGTTCCTGCACGGAAAACGAAAGAAAAAACATGAGTCAAAAAAAAAATAAATCCTTCCATCAGCTAAATTATTCCCACAAATTAGTGCGATAAATTCTGCTGGTAAAAATGACGGCCTCAAACAAAAGACTTGGTCTCGTTTGATGAGTTTGTGATGCAAAAAGTCCGTTGCATTTGAAGTGAATTATTTTTCCCTTGCAAAAAAAAAAAAAAATAATAATAATTTTTTTTTGCATAATTACCGTATAATTATTTACACATGAAACTCAGGCTTCTGTCGATATTTTGCGTTAAATATTGGGATGCGCTTTGAAAAATCAATAATCGATCACACGAAATTAATTATATTTCAAGAAATTCAATAGGAAGAATGGCTGTCAAAAAATTTAAATTAGATGGTTTTTTCCCAGATTCGTGATTGTGTTGAACATTCAGAGCGTTATTGTACGATATTACATTTGAAAAATATCTGTACACTTGTACAACAATTTCTTTGAAATTACAAGAAGGAAATTCTTTCAACACAGCTTCACATTATCATACTTTTTTCAAGGAACTTCTAGGCAATCTAGGGGCATAAACCCAAGAACCCATTCCGCATAAGAATACAAGTGGACTCACTCGAAAATGATATTGTCTACAACGATTTTCTCCGTTCAAAATTTTTTTTGGTCCCATAGGATTCTTTTCCAATGTTATTTACAACTAAATTCTCTGTGCAACAAATTTTTCTGAGGTCCCTTGAATTTCGTTGTAGACTATGTAGAGAGAGTTTACCTTTATATCTTTACATAAATGGAATCGGTTAATTAGGACTTACTTCCAATAAGAACGAATCAAGTCTTTCAACCGGGAAATCACTAAATCGGAACTTCAAATCAACGGTAACAACAAAAAAGTCGGATTACACAAAAAGGAAAACAAAAAGAAATCAACTCACGGTAAAGCCTCCACTTGTTGAGCAGTCATTTTCTTGCCGGGATTCCTCGTCACGTGCACTTCTTTGACGTGCCGCACGAGCCGATCGAGTTTCGGGAAAGGCGGCACGCCCTTTTTGACACGTCCGCAATTCCGCCATTTGCAATTGAACTTCTCGGCATCCGGATCCGAAAAGGTCACGTATGCGTGTCCGTCCTTGTCAGATATCAAATGGTCCACGAAGTCGCACTGGTCCTCGTACACGTTCTTGCATTGTTCCCAGCAACACTCCCACACGCAGTCTTCCGTCGTGATAACTGCCTGCTGATTTTAAAAAAAACAGTAAAATGAAATGATCGTCGTTTCTCTTTACTCGGATCTCTTCCTTCAAAATTAGGTGATCGGACGCGGTTTCCCCAAAACGTGAGTTGGAAATTACGGGGACAGAATGAAGAGACTGAGATCTCAGTTGGCACGTCTTCAATCATACAGTAGTGCAAATGAACGTCAATAACTCGAACCACCCAAATTCGATTGTTTAAAGTCTCTGTGTGAATTTCCTTAGAAGCAATGCATTAAAAACATCCCTGACTCTAAGGCTATCAGCCTCAAACCACCATAACTCGAATTTTCTGAGGATTTATGGCTTTTATTTTATGGACACAGGAGAGAGAAACGCAATAAAAATGTACCTTGATGCGTTTTGAAAGGAAGTGAAGGACAAATCTGAGCAAATAAACCCTTGCTTTCAACTTCATCATCCTGCAAAGTCATTTACGAAGCAATTCAAGGCCCAAAATACAATAATACCAATAACAATATCCCGTAATTCCTACTTTTCCCAAACAACAAAAAAATGCTTGATTCCCGAACTCGAATTTTTTGCCGGTCCCTAGAAGTCCGACTTGGGTTCCACTGTATTCGGATACTTTACCGAGCTTTTCCGCGCTCGTAATCGATTTTTTAAATCATCAAATATAGTACGGTATTGAAAAAAAAAAAACAAACTGGCAACCGTTGCAACGCACGTAACCCACGTTCAAAAAGCACTACTGTATTAATCACATTTTCCACATAATGCTACTTTCTTCAATCATTAAAAACGAGAATTTGGAAACTAACGTGAATGATTAACCCACCGTTGGCGTCCCAGAGTCTCCAGGTTCTGGAATCATTTCATGAGCGTGTTTTGCAGCAGATGCTTCGTTGAGTTTCACGGCTCTTTCTTCGTATTCTTTCTTGGCTGAGTCCGCCAATGCTCTCCACTGAAAATGAACAAAGTTTCCCACATTCAAATGTTGCAAAATCAATCTAATCAGAGTGAAAAGTTCAACTACGAAAAATAAGATTTTCCTTTGATGAAAATGGCGTCAGAAAATAAATCACGTTTTCTCATTCACGTGAAGATATACTTTTCTCTTTCATATAAAGTTTAACAACAGACGTTAGATAAATGTAAGACAAAAGTTCGCAGTTGCTCTGTGAGCATTTAGTCAAGAAAATTATGTTTCTCAAGCCCAGAGGCTGTGGAAAAATATTCATTCATCGTCGTTCGTTTCTTTCCTTTTCTTTTCTTGCAACCCTAGCCTTAAATTTCCATCAAATGCTTCTTATGCTCGAACATCAGCTTAACATGAAACGCAATCCCAATCCACCACATGAAAAGATTTTTCTTCGAAAACGAAAGAGACTCACTTCACCGCCAACCAGTCTGGAGATCTCGCCGAACTGAGCATCAGGATTCTTGCTGATAATCGACTTTCTCACCTCGCCCGCGTACAATGTGTATCCAGTCATAACCTTGTACGGCAACGCCTTTTTCTGCGCAAACATTTGAATTTTCAGTTAAAATCACAAACAATTCAAACGGACACGACGCGCACTTTTCTTTCGAGACGTTTTCCTCCCTTCCTAGGGAATTGCTCTATATTCCTATAACACCAATTCGCAAAAAACCATATTCATGTGCTTACTAGTAAAGATTCATGAGATCATAACTTTTAATGGAAGATACGCTTTCACCATGGGAAAACTAAAAGTCCCTCAACCTCACGAGTGGTCCACACAGGGCACATAATTCTTTTTTTTTTTAAACGTATGCATACAGTCAAGAACCAAAACTGAACTCTCTCAAAATACTGCAGACACAAAAAGTATCTAGAAAGTAATAAGTACGATACTGTGCGTATGGCTAAAATACTTCATCTACGTGGAGATATATGTCGCTCCAATTCACTATACACTGCGCACAGTACTCAGTACTGCACTGTCGTGATTCGACAGAAAACGTCTCGTCAAAAGGGTTCCTCTATCACTTCAGCCTCCACATCGTCGAACAAAATCGAACAAGCATACCACTGCATAATACTATGATCATTAATTTCTAGCAAAATTACGTTAAATTCAGCCTCTCTCAATGTAACCTTCTCCCAATAAAACTTTCTCCCTACCGAAAAAACGTTAAAAAAAATCTACCTGACACTCAAACAAGAAAATCAAAGTCCCGAGCGTTCGAGTGCAAATATCAGCTTCTATGGATTATCGCTACCGTTCTAGAACTGCGATTATGTGGACTCTAATTAATCGGACATCCTATCAACCGCGGCTTACTTGGGAATGACATTTTATTTTAAAATGTTGACTATATAACCCTGGTGCGCGTGATACTCGAGTAAATACGGTACCCAACAACAAAAAGAAAAGAACTGACTTGAGGCTTCTTCGCGGATTGTCCACCACCGCTCGGAGTTCCGGGTCGTCCATCGCTGCCGGGTCCCTTGACCCCGGGCATTCCTGGCCCATTTCCGGTAGCTGCGCTCAACATACTGCCCAGTTGCGGCGAATTCAGGGCGTGGGAAAACGTCAGGCTGCCAGGGGATGCGACAGGGCCAGCGACGCTGTCGTACGATGCCTCGTCCAGCAAGTGTTCCGGCTGCGGCTTGTTAACGGGGCTTTGCTGCATCTGCGCTGACGCCATGTGATAATTGGTCAGCTCGGCACTCCAATCAATCTGGAAATCACGACGAAACATTTTGATCAACACATTTTAAAAATGACTTTTTCACGCCCGAGACTGTGGAAGCCCCGGACAACGGACCTTCATTCGTATAACAAACTGAATAAAAAGTTCTTGTCCTAAAAAAAAAAATCAAGTTCCTGCGGGGTTGGGAAATGTGGCCGCTAGCATTATTTCCTCGCGTTAATGATGGGCTTTTATTCATTTTTCTCGATGGGGTTAAGCATTTTTTGATTGATTTTTAGAAACAATTCAACTCCCGACAACAAAAAATTAAATCTTTCAACCAATGAAGGAACACACATAAAATTCCCACATCCCGCTTCTAAAAAAAGAAAGAAAACCTTGCCTCCATTTCTTGCAACATAAAAACATGCCGACGAGAACTCGTTTTCTTCAAGTACGAAAAGGAAAAACTAAGACAGGATCTTTTCGAGCGACGCGGACTTCGACTACATTTTCTCATTCCATTATCGCTAAAACTAATGAATTCAATACAGTCGGTCGATAAAAACCCAAGTAAAAGAAGATAAGAGAATGAAACTCATGGGAGAAACAAATATTTGCTCAATCGATTCATAAACAGGCAAGAATAACGAAAAATGTTCAGCATGAAAACCGAAAATTCTCACACGGGAATCAGACGAGGAAACATTTTAAACACAGACTTTTGAGCCCAAAGGAGTCCCAGAAAAAGTATTACAATATTAGCAGCATTTCTCAATCGGATTTTGTGTCACAAATTCAACCGAGCATGTAGGTATTCGCTGACCAACGCTTTTCAAAAAACATTTAAATGGAAGTAAGGATCCAAAACCACATACAAAGAGTGATTCATAGTTCGCTAGCACATCAAAAATCAAATTTTCTCTGATTTATGATTAATAAAAATCAATTTTGAAACAAGAGTCGAAGGAATTCGTAAATATGTTCACATTTAGGAAAAACCATCCCGGGAAATGGGATAATTCGTTCCATATTGAAACGAATCCGTCGAAATTGAATAAGGGAGAAAAATCTTTGGCAACAGTAAAACAATTCTCACCTACATTAAGTGTTAATTCAGTAGTGAATAAATGGACTGGAATTCGCCTTCAGAATGGCGAATTCCTTCATCCTGGCGACAAAGCCGAACTGTTAGGATGCTGCTTCGATTCTCTTCGTTCAATTCTATGGATCTAACTATACTTTGACACAAAGTCAATAATTTAATGCTCGTAATGCCACAACTTTCTGAAATACTCAATCAAAATTTTTTGAGTTTAATAGCACATGTACTCATCATTTCATCCCAATTCTTCTGTTGTTATTCAACAGTAAAATCTAATGTTCAAGAAAATGTCAAATTTCAGTAGAAAAAACTTTTTTACTGAACACAGGATTCTCCTGTTAACATTTTCTCAACTATATTCGGTGAGCAAAATCTAAAATTTTCTTTTCCAAATGTTACTACGACTGGGGTTTCAACTTGAATGGAAAAAAATCGAGGAAAAAATTGCTCCAAAGTTAATCCTAACATTTTTCCAGGATGGAAAAGTTTTCTGCGATTGATGTACTAAAGATGTAACCTGAAGACAACGGAATTTGCGTCACAAGGGGAATGGTGGCTGTTTAAGAAACCTTGCTGCATTTCTTGGTAAACGGACTTTAGGAAAAATCAACTCCCCACTCAAGTCTATCCATCTATGTGTTTGAAATTCCACTTGTGACACCAGAAGTCAAGCTCAGATACATTAAAAAAAAAAAAAAAACAAAGAACACCAGGATCGCAAGCCGCTCACCTTTTGCAGGGCAACCGGCTTCCTCAAGAAGTAAATCTCGTCTGGCGTAGAATAGTTTGACAGGTTAAATTTCCTCAGCGCTTGTCCGGGCTCCAGGAGCTTCATGATCCGCTTGGACTCCTCGTATAAACTTTCGCAAACGTATACGTCTTTCTCAGGTACTTCTGTGGGTCTTCCTGCTCAGAGAAGCACGAATTTGAATTACTACAGTTACCAGACCTCTAAAATTATATTTTCATCTAGGTTTCACGCCCCACGCAGGGTCTCTTCGTGAAGTTTACAAGTCACCACAGTTATTTGAAAGCGAATTTTCATCAGAGGCTACTGCATAACGTTCATTTTTGAATCACCCCATCATTTTCGAATATTTTTGTGTTCCTGCAACTGCCGCAAATTTTTGTACATATTTTGAATTTTTTACTTCTTTCGAGTTCATTTCCGCAAAATATAAACTGTTGCCTTAAAATAGTAAAAATTTGAAACCAGCTGAATTGGCCATCGATAAGAACCCTGAATTATGCTAGAAAATTTGCGAACAGTTGGGGAAAGTAACTTCCACGATTTATTTAGACGAAGAGAAAGACTAATATCGTTATTGGTTCCACACTCGTATGTCTAATAATGCAGTATTCGTTCCACATTCTTTGTTTATGATTAATTCACATTGCAGCCTGAGAAATATACAAAGACAATGTTTCCTAAACAAACAATCAACTGCCTCACAAGCAGTGCAAAGTTAGAAGCCATATTACATTAAAATTCAACAGAAAAAAAACTCAAACGGATTACTGCTAGCACCAAGAATTGGGGAACACAGAACCTTATACAGTAGAAGTACTGTACAGTACATCTTACATGAAGACCTATAAAAATTTATTCACAATATTGAACTTTTTCCAAGCATAGAGAGAAAGTTACAGAAAAATTGTAAGAAAAGACCCCAATATGCAGTACAAAAATGTGTGGGACACAACGCGAGAAAAAAAACTCGTTCAGTGCACCTCTGGAAAATGGCATCTCATTTGATTTAATGCGAAAAAGAATCGAAAACTGCCCATCACTTAAAAGAAGAACACGAAAAAGCAGTGAAGACTTACGGCACGGATATTCGTTCATCTCCAAAACAGAACACTTGCCCACAATGGCAAGTAATGGATTCGTATCTTCGATAGAGGACAGAAAAACCTCTTGATTGTAGAACATGGACGAAGACGGATTCGGAATTTCCGGCGGAGTAACAAACCACGGACCATGAAACTGAGCGTTTCCGCTGCATTGAAAATAATAAATTTAATGCAACGCATCACCCCGTTAAAATAAATTTAAACAGGCTAATACAAAAAAAAGAACTCACTTTTCAACCCACATGGACTCCACGCGGGCAATTAACTTCTTGCCATTTTCCGCTCTGACATAAACGGCGTCACCAAGTTTAATAGTTCCCGCTGGAATATTATACTGCTCATACATGACGCGTCCGTCCGTCATATGGCTTAATTCCACATTCTGCATAAAAGAGAATACATTAATTTCTCAGTTAAATACGGTACAGTAATAGATTATTTAACCCGAATCTGGGATCTTCGAACTTCAACGCACGACGATACTTCAAGAAATGTCAGGTAGGTGTCGCTTGAATCACTGAACTTCGTCCTAAATTGACGTTACCCAATCCAGAGTGGCCTCACATAATTTAACGAAGACCGCACGAAATGCAACTAGATTTACACGACACCCACGAAACAGCAACTCACATCACGGACTCGAGGAAATTCAGCGTCCACGCAAAAGAAGCCGAAATACCTTTGAGCATTTTCCATGAAGCGTATTTTCGGTGCAATATATCCCCAGAAAAATCCTAGTAAGAATTAATGTAGCAGAATTTTTTCGACTCTCTCACCGGAATTGTAAAAAGGAAAAAAAATACCCATGCCAGTTTCCTCATGAAACACAACAACCCTATCTTTTACGAAATCAAGTACAGTACTGTTCAAGAATCCACTCTGGCATATTCTCATAAAATAATTTATGCGCAAGGCGGGAAATGTCCACGCCAAAACTGGATAGGCGATAGAATAAAAATATTTCTTCACAAGAGAGTAAAAACTCGTCATAAATTGCAGGGATTATATTGGAAACTCAAATTTTGCTGCTTGACACCACCCCAGCACAGATCAGAAATTAGTCGTACAACACGACAAGCCAAGTTTTCAGCTCGAGTTAACACTTTGTTTCATACTGTTCCTTAAGATGATTGAAGAAAAAAACGAAGACGACAAGCCGGATTGTAGGGGGTGAAAAGGAACTCGGTATAGGTGGAACAACAATACTCACAGGTCTAATACGATCAGGAAACGAATGCTCCACGTCCACATCCGAAAAACTAATTGAACTGGGTGCAGTGCCAGAACCATGAAGCATCGGCGGTCCCTTGTTGAACGTGTCTTGATCCCGAAACACCGACGACACCCGTTTACACTCCAAAGCCTCTTCCCTGGCCATAATCTCCACATTATCCCCCATATTCAAGAACCTATGATCTCTCCACTTGGACAGCTTCTTGAACAGCCGGGTTCTAGTCGAGTACCGCGACTCGCACACGTATACATTCTCGTCGTCGAATCCGATGGGTTTATTCCTGAAATAGTCCTTCACGTACATTACGAAGCACTTGCCCAGGATTTCTTCCGCGGGTGCCGAACTCCGGTTGTCCGACCGGAACACTTCCTTTTCTATAAACTTCCGCGTTTGCAAATGGTACGTTTCGTTCGGGCGGTAGTACCAAGTTCCCCAGATCAACTCGGCGTTTCCATCATCTCGATAAAACTTTTCTATCTGTATTATGTGCGGTTCCATGCCTTTTTCTCTGGGGACGATGTAAACGAAGTCCCCGACTCTATACTGGACTCCGTTCACTATTACAGCTTCCGAAGTTGAGGACATCGACGCTATCTTGTCCTGTTCACGCTGCTCCCTCGCTTCGTCTTCCGACACTTGCTGAGAGTTTTCTTTCGCCGCCTTTTCCGCTCTCAAAGCGTCTCCCGCTGCAATCACGTCCGCCTTCGTGTAGGATAATGCCGGCGACCAAAGGAGTTCGCCGTTGTTGCAAACTTCGTCTCTGAGCTCGATGAACTTGGACTCCAGCTCGAGGGCATCTTCGAAGACTTGAGAATCAGACCTGGAGATCTGACGAGCGCGTTGGAGAACGACACGCACGTCGTCCTGGAAGTGGTCCAAACGTCTGTAGTGACCTCTGTCGATGAGTTGTTTGATCATGTCGAGATTCGGCGCACGATACTTGACTCCGTTCGAGTCTTCGGCGTACTCCGGAAGCTCTTGCAACGAATCCGATAAGCACCTGCCTTCGGAATCCGTGTGGTTATAAAATGCGATGAAAAGACTCAAGAGAAGCTCTTGCACAGCTAGCTGCACGTCCGGCATGCCATCGTCATCTTGTAGTTGAATTTTCTTCTGTAAGGCGACCTGAATGAGTAAAAGAGGAAATTAGAACAATTCTCAACCGTAATGGCACACGGAAGCCTCGCTTGATCAAATAACAATCCGGATCGCCCTCAATAGAATAAAAAATCGAAGTGGTAGATAGGAATCGTCATCAGCAATGTACTGTATTCCTCTTTTTGATGCTCTTAAACGATACAGGTAATGCGCTTCATGTTCACGATCTGTACAATTGACATTTATTCGAGAATGTCCGAAGGATCAGGAAAGAATTAGCCATTCCATTCAGAAAATCAACCCTTATTTCGCAGATTAAATATTGAACGAAAATAGACTTTACACGTATGACTAAATTAATACTTCAGCTTCCATAATGCTTGAATATTTTTTTACGTTTCTTAAAATCGGTCTTGAGTTTTCTGGTTCACACTGTGATTAAAAGGAGCGAAAAAAAGTACCTTCTGTAAGACGAGGGCGTCTTTGTAAATTTGAGAATCAGGTTCGTTGTACTTGCAGGCGTTATCGAACATAAGGATGAGGTCACTCATGAGTTCCTCGAGGTTGACGTATTGCTGTTGCTTGATTTTCTGATGAATCTTCTCCAAAGAGATCGGATTCTTGATGACTTCGTAGTACTCGCGATAATCTTTGTTACTCGGAAGCTTATTGAAGACAACAGACAGCTGGCGGCCTTTACTATTCTTGAAATCTTTGATGGCTTCGAAGAGGCTCATCAGCTTTTCAGTGAGTTCTTTCTTCGTGCCGTCGATTCGCTTCATGAGTCGCTGTTTCGGCGTTAATTCCGCTTTGAACTCTTCGACTTTGGCCATGAGCAAAGTCTCGAGTTTGTTGGCGTCTTCGTAGATGTCAGATCCATCTTCGTTGTACTCCCGACAGTTATCGAACATCAGCTTGAAGTCGGCAACTAGTTCGTCGATCGCTGAATACTTGTCAACTTTGATGTTTTGCTCGATTGTGATCATGTCGATGGGATCAGTGATGATCTTATAGTAGTCCGGGTACGTTTTCTTGCTTGGCTTCTCCATGAACATCGCCACAAGCTGTCTCCCGTTTTCGTCCTTTAATTTAAAATGAAGAGGAACCAAAGGGTTGAGCAAAACGACTGAAAACGTGTAAATTTAAAAAATATAGACTTTGAAATGAAACATCAAAGGGTTGCCAAATAATTGGAGTGCCATCAGTAAATTCCTATCCTTCTCATGATATTTAATGCAGTCCAAATGATAAGAAATTAAGAGAATTCGTCACTTGAAACTGATGAGAGTAATCCTCTTCCTAGATTATTAGAGAAGTTCACGATTGACAGTCACTCAATATTTTCTGCGATTTTTTAAAATGCGATCCTCACCTTGTGATTCAGAAGGGTTCTATACAAGATTTTGAACCGGTTTTTCAAAAAACTGAAGGTTCTGGAAGATTCGTTCTTTTTCTTGGCCTTCGGAACTGGAGATTCGTCTTCTTCAGCTTCACTGTCACTGGACTGCAAGTCCAACAGTTCCTGCAGTTTGGCTTGCATGACCTGGTAATAAAAAACAATAATAAATTCTGAATTTCTTTTTTCTCGCAGAAGTTGCAGAATTACCTTGAATAATTTGGCAGCATCGCGATATATTCGGGAATCCGGTCGATTGTATTGCTTGGCATTTTCGAACATCAAGGTGAAGTCTTCAGCCAAATCGCTCACACCGCCGTAATGACCCCTTTTGATTCTAGTTTTGATCATGTTCATGGAAATTGGATTGTCGATTTCCCGATAATAATCTGGATAACTCTGCTTCGACGGCAGAACCAGGAATGGTTGCGACAAGTGATACCCTTGGGCACTGGTGTAATTCGCCACGGCTTCGTACAACTCCCACAGCGGACTTTCCAAATCTTCGCTCTGCAAGTCTTCGTCATTCTCATTCTCTTCCTCTTCTTCTTCAGTTTCCCGTTGCTTCTTGCCAACAGGCTTTTTCTGCGAGGGAAGAGGCGGCGTCGGTTTGAGATTCTTTGGAGGACGACCTCGGCCACGGACTGGAGCCTGGACTACAACTTCTTCCTCTTCCTCCTCCTCCTCTTCTTCTTCCTCCTCTTCGCCTTCTTCTTCTTCCTCCTCTTCCTCTTCGGAGTTCTCTTCCGCCATTTCCTCTTCTTCGTCCTCGTCCTCTTCGTATTGAAGGGAAGCGATTTTTGCGGAATATTTCGTTCGGCGGGCGCGGGAGCGAATACGCTCGCTAAATTTGCTGTTTCGGGACAGGCCTTGATCTTGTTCGATGTCCTGCTTTCGGGTCTGCACAACCTTTTTCAAGGCTTTCGCGTCTTTGTAAATTTGTGAACCAGTTTCGTTAAAAGTGAATGCGTTCTTGAAAAGGAGATTGAAGTCCTTTTCCAGGTCATCAAGCGAGGAATACTGGTTCTTCTGGATTTTCGTCGCGATGCTGAAAAGCCGAGAACGATCAAAACAACCTTATGGTTTATTTTCTTTTCATCAAGAATAAAATTTAAAATTTCATCTCATGTGAAAAGCGTTTGCTCCAAGCGAAAAATCATTTCCTAAATTCAAGAGAAGAATTTTTAGTAAATGCACTGAAGGAAAAACCTTTTCCTCGGGTTTTCCTCAGAGCGATTCCATATCGTGCTGGGGTTCAAGAGAATTCGAAGTTTTGCTAACTTTGAAAGAAAGCCTAAATGTAAGGGGCAATCCTCGACACTGAGTTTCCAAGTATTCAACTTGCTACTGATACAGGATAATCAATAATTGTTTCATGGATTCCCTATTACAGTAATTTAGACCATTCTCATTTTCCGGTCGGAATGCATTAGTTTTCTCATACATTTCAATGGGACACCAAGATAAATAAAACAAACTGATCATAAAATTAAACAGCCAATGATAGTTTCGCCTCGCAGGGGATACTTATTTTTTCAAATTGATCATTCGGAAAGGGAGTTAGATAAAATCTTACATTTTCAAATCGATCGGCTTGTCGATGACGACATAATACGAAGGATACATTTTCTTGGAGGGCAGGAGCAAGAAAGGGTCACTCATGGTCCTTCCAGTAGCGTCCGCGGCGGTCATCACGGCGCCAAAGACTTCCTCGAGATGTGAGCCCAAAGTCTCGTCCACATTCGCCGACACTGAAGATGACGTTTCACTGCCCATGTCGTCATCGTCGTCTCTCCCGCCACCTTCGTCGTCCGCTGACGACGACGCAGCGGCTGCTCGTTTTGTCAACTTTGAAAACTTGAGAATTATTTTTTTCTCTTTCGAGTCGTCGTCCAGGCCAATGCACGCATTGTTGCCCGAGAAACTGACGAGATCGGAAGAGTCGGAGGATCCGGAAGGAGTGGCGGAAACGTAGCGCTGCTTCGCAGCCGTAAACATGTCCCAAAGGTCACAGGCATCATTGTACTCGTTGGAATCTCTCTGAAAAAAAAAGAGGCGACGACCAATGAAATACACGAAGAAAACGATGACAAACGCCTACTTCTTGAAAAAAAATAATCAGTTTGCATTCAGAATTATGTACGCAAGCCGATTTCAAACTTGATTCTCAATTGAAATATCATGTATGATGAAAGAAGAAAGGTTAACCTCCAGTGCATCACTCTGTACTATTGATGCGTGAAACTGTCTCCGTGCAACAGAAAGTATAAAACTAATTCATCAAAACCCATTCTGCCCACGAAACGTTCTTGTCATTTTTGCTGAGGTATTCTCTTACACCGAGACTTCGCAGGAAATCTTATAAGATCGCGACTCGGAAACAAAAAGAGTGAACGGCATAAAATCGCTTTTCAATTGAAAATTTGCCTTTTTTTTGGATTTATACCATTCTCATTTCCGTCACATTAGAATCATTTACCTCGTAAAACAATTTTGCATTCTTGACAAGCAAATCTACATCGATAGTGAGGTGCTCAACTCCGGTGTATTCTTCGTTCTTGATTTTCATGCCGATTTGTGTCATGTCGATTGGGTTCGACACCGCTTCATAATATTCCGGCATTGACCGTCGTTTCGGTACTCGGAGAAAAGACTCGCAAACAAGTCGACCATCTTCATTCCGGTGATTCCGCAATATCTCGAATAATTCCTGACAGATGTCAATCTAGAAAAATACAAATCGAAAATAAAACATGAATTCCCGGCACGAACTCGAAACTTTTTATTTCCTCGCGATCTTAATGAAAATAAGCCTCTTATAAATTAATTCAGAAGGACCGGAATAAAACTACAATACTTTTCAACAGGAGTATGCGGGTTAGCAGATTGCTTTTCTTACAAAATAATCCTCTGGGAATAAAATATAGAAGTAGACATAAGATTCCTTGATGGAATTAAATAATAATAAAAAAAAAACATTTACCGAAGTCGAATTTCGCTTCGGTCGCTTGCCAAACGACTGATACGACTGTGAGGAAACGTCCGAAGCATCGTCCTCATCAACCACTCGCGCAGCCGCTTTCCGCTTCGGCATGTTTCACTCACACACACACAAAAACACACACAGATTTCTGCAAGCAAAGAAAATAAGTACGTGAAAAGTGAAGTGTTTGCTTCCAATGGCAACAAACTTGAATAACCATCCTCGTATGCACGCAATTACAAATGCCTGTATGAACACAACGGTCCTCGAACACAGATTATTCCGCGCAGCATCTAAAACAAATGAATGACTAGAAAAAATCGTGAGTTGAACACATTTTTCCCGGAATCTCTAGATTTTCAAACAAACGGATACTTTTCCATTTTGTACATTGAATCTTACGTACGATAAGCGCGGAAAAACGAGGTACGTTTCGAACTTCCTCTTGCTCACAGTTTATACGGACGGATTAGAATCATCAGACGCTCGCCTGAGGTTCGGTTACTCGAAAAAACTTCACGAACGTACTTGAGTCCTTGTCGTGATGAGGAAATTGAGAATATCCGAAAGCAGCTCATGACCAAAAAAGCGAGTGCGAAGTGTAAAATGCGGAAAAAAAAAAAAGGTAATTGAGATAACAAGTTTCCGACATGATGCACATTGATTACCCTGCGTTAGTCATTTTAGAAGTTCTGAACGAAATTTATTTCAAGAAAGATACTGAATAAAATAGGCAAAGCTATAATTATTTCTGTGTCGTTGAATCAACGACATCTGATATCTTCCCGATGCATATATCCACGATTTCATGAAGTCTTAATCCAGAATTTTCTAGTAATTGAGTCTCACAACCAATGAATTGCACAGAAAAAACTTCCGAGTTTTTTCCACTTCTTGAGATAATGCTTTCTCCTGTCCAATGTTGCACCAAAATGTTCTTCTATTCCATTGGATGGATCTCCGCATACACCGTTATTGAAGATACAGTACTGTATATTTTTACGTTACAGTCACCCCCGAATCTAAGCATAAAAGCGTGAGTAAAGTTTCGGGTGATATTGTGCGTAGTTGAACTTCGATAACTCGAACCTCCCCATTTCATTTTTTTTTTAAGTCCCTTTCTGAATTCACTTAGAAACAATGCATTAAAACCCTACCTGACTAGAAGGGTTTCCCCTCAAACCTCCAAAATGCGAATTTTCTGAAAGCCTTTTGGCCATCATTTCAGTGACACAGGAAAGAGAAAAGCAATAAACGAAGTGCAACAAAGGAAAGAGAAAAGCAATAAACGAAGTGCAAAAAAACGTTATAAAAGGAAGTGAAGGACTATTTCGGCAAGTTAACCTTTGCCTCCCAAGTTCAGTATCCCATCGACTCATTTCAGAAGCGATTCAAGGCCTAGAATATCACCAATTACTCATCTTCTAATCCCCAAACAATAGTGCTTGCTTCCCCAACTCGAAATTTTGCTGGTCCCTTGAAGTTCGACTTGAAGAGGTTCAACTGTATAAAATCGAGGAAATATTGTGCGTTGACTTTGTGGCTGACTCGCTGTTCATTCTGGACACGCGCTGTTTTCAGAAGTTTGAAGATGCATAGAAGAGCTACGTGGACGGATACTTCACGCAAAGGATGGACGAACTGGGACACAGTTGCTGGCCATATTCCCACCAAGAAGATCATTGTGAGCTACACACAATTCAGCCACTTCGCGCTTTAAATTCGCGATCGTCGCGTTCTTCGTTTCAATCACGTCTTCAATTTTCTTCGCCAACGACGCCGCGACGGCTGGTGATGAACTCGATCGCATCACTTCGTCCAATTGCACGTCCTTGGCTTCGACTGCCGCATTCAACGTCGAGAGTTGCTTCTCCAGGATGATGCTTTTCGCCGCATTTTTCTCGCGGACTTCAGCGATCGCCTTGACAAATTTCTCGTACAATTCGTCGCGTTCCTTCTGTATCTTGATGAGTCGGTTTTGCAAGCGCTCGTTTTCCCAGCGGAGTTTCTCGCTGATTTTGGCAGCCTCTTTCGATCGTGATTCAGCCTTACGAACGAGCTCTGTTTCACGTTCGCGAGCACTGAGTTTGACACGGACTTCAGCCAGCTCTTGTTTCGCCTTTTCGAGAGGTTCTGCGAGGCGCTTGTTTTCTGAAGCGCGTTCGGCAGCTTCCTTTTCTAGCTTTTCTTCGCGGGCCTTGACAGTAGCGAGCTCATTCTTCAGACAGTTTATGAGCGCGAGGTTATTTAGCGTGATGTCATCGTAATACGTTTTCACCTTAATAGGAAAATACAGCGATCAATTTCAATTACAAACCCCTTGAACAGCACTCTAAAACGTACAATAATATAATCTCATTAAAATTAATAATAGCTTACAATGAAGCAGCTTCTCAGGCCCCTGCGCAATAGCCACAACGTTAAATGAGTAACTTCATAATATGTTTTCGTTAAAACGAAACTATTTTATGGTCTCAATGGCCTACTTGTTAGGATATTTTCTTGAAGTTCTTCAGTCACTCGAAGCGACATAATTCCCGTTATTAAAACATGAGTTATTCAGGATGAAAAAATCGGCAAGCGTTGAAAAGACCACGCTTGCGTAAATCCATAATTCATCGATTTCACGAAGTCCCTCATATAATAAAAGGGTTAAGCTTCACCTTGTGCGATAACGCAGGAAATTCAGTAAGTACAGCAATAATTTTTTCAATTCTTCGGGATTGATCTCCTTTTTAATTTTCCAATCGAATCAAAATGACATCGACAATTAGGAATAGAACAATTTTTTTTAGCCAATTCTCTTTTAATAATGGCCGCCTACCCGAGGAAAATTTCTAACTTCCGCGTAGGAAATTCCCGTAAATACGCGACGAATGAAGGGTAAGAGTTAGCGACAGATCTGGAATTCTTCATCTCGAAAACCACGAACTGACGAAATTTCGACTGCATTCTCACCTCCACAAACGCTCGATCGTGTTTCTCTATCAAACTGCGAATCTGGGCGTTTTTCCGTTCAGATAATTGATGCAACTCGCTTTCTCTCTGCACATCAGCATCAGCTTTGAACGTCGAATACCGAGCCTCCCATTTCTTCTCCAGCCGATCCAACGAAGACTCAAATTTCTCTCGAGTCGCTTTCAGCTCGGCAGCGTGCTTCAGCGCAGCATCCCGAAGCATTTCGTGAGAAGACACTTCGTGGTGTTGAGCTGCGAGTTTGAGCTCTGTGTTCTCCAAACGAAGCTCTCCTTCACGCTGACGGTGCTCGTCACGTTCAGTAGCTATTCTAGCAACAATTCCTTCTTGGATTTCTCCGATTGACGCTCGTTGTTCGAACAGGAGGGATTTCACACGTTGCTTATGTTCTTTGACCTAACAAAATATCAAGAAAGGGCTCGTCATCGGCGATTTTGAACACTGGACACTTCGATAAAACTGGCCCTCATCGTTGGATGAAGTTTTCAGTGTAACGAAATTCCCGATTAAAAAATCGAGCACAGAAACCTTGTTCGGTTCAATGGATAAATGAAAAATTCGTTACAATGTTGATGCTTAGAACTGTACTTTTCTGCAATGTTTTTTATTCCTAAATTTCCCACAATCGAGAACTAGAATTCAGGTGATCTCGGGGCAAAGAAAAAGCGTGCCATCTTCGGACAGAAGGTAAAACTTTGTCAATTAAATTGGTGTATCAAAGCCGGGATGGTATGAATTCCACTCAACTTTCGATGGAAGGATTTCTTTATTACAGGTAGACTCTCTCAACAACGATTTCCTCCGTAAAATGAATTTTTGGGGTCCCATAAGGATCTCTGCCCATATTATAGCGGTTCTCTACAACAAATTTTCTTGTGATCCCCTGCATTTCGTATTAGAGGGATTCCACTCGTATCACGACAGTAAGATAAAACGCAGGGGATGAATCTCATAGGATTTCCTGGAAACAATGACATGATTAGAAGAAGAATAGAAGGAACCGAAAATGTCTTCAATATGAAAAAATATATAAATCTCACTTGCGACGCATGGCGTTTTGCGGTCTCCTCCAATTCACGATCTCTAACAGTGAGGTTATCCTTGAGGGAAGAAGCTTCAGACTGGGCGATAGACCAAAATGAATTGACCCGAGTCAGTTCCAATTCGGCTCGATTCCGCGCTGCTCGTTCCCGATCCATTTCGGCGCGCATTCGATAAACCAGGTCCTCCACTTGCTCGCGCGACATTTCACCGATGGGCAACCCATCAACTATCACTGGTGCACGACCGGAACCACTTTTTTTCTTCTTCGTCTTGGTTCCGGTGCCGGAAGAGGCACCGCTCTTGTCTGTTCCTTTTTTCGGGCTCATCTTCGAAAAAAAAGATACATCAAATACAGGGATATATCGGATAATGGAAGCCGAACATTGAAAGATTTTTCGCATCTTGAGCTGCCGAAAATGTCTGCTTTGGTCAGTGGACCCGACTTTAGTTTATGAACTGCGAAGAAAGTTATTATTTATCAAAAGCATGAATTTTCTTCGGGAATTAAAGAAGATAGGGCTGTATAACTTTCGCGCACTTTAAATCCTTAATATCTGGGAGCTTGATCACTAATTCTCGAGAATTTTTTATATTTTCCTCCAGATGGAACATGGATTTAGTCAGCAATGTCTCGAAGACTTCACTCCGGAAATTAAAAAGGAATCTGGAACGAATTGGACTATTTCAAATTGCTTTTATTTTTTGGTCACGGGATTTTTGCTAGGTCTGGACCAAAGAGCTATTTTTTGCAGTTCAACATTACTGTACCAAGTTAATGGATTTTTCGGAAGATGGATTTTCTTTGTAGCAGAACGAGTCCATTGACCAAAGAACCCCTGCATGGGTGGGTCAAAAGCTTGCAGAAGGAAGCCTGCTAAAGTTTCAATGATGGAACGAATAAATCTGTTTTTATTCTTCTCAAACCTTTTCAAACAAAAATTATGAATCATGTCCATCAAAAGGTCTTCGTTGCACGAAATTTAAAATCAAAACCGTATGCCTTTCAAGTGCTATAATAGTACATTACAACGCTGCGTCGATTATGAAAAGCCTCATCGTAGCTGTTATTTCCATCAAATGTTTGTCCCGCGGATTAACACTGACTGGTTCGGATTCAATAACTAGGCAACTTAAGCCGAACACTGAAACAAAACGAAAAAAATTCTTCCGCAAATATAGTGAATGCAACTAAGCATTGATCTTAAAGCAGCAAAGAACGGACTGTACAATTGAAGGGAAATTGTCTCATTTGCTTGGGCGGAAATTAACTTTCCTGGAGCTCCTCAACTTAGTCACAGATTCGCCAACGGATTCGTTACAGCGTTTCCTCTCTTTCTCGTCTCATCCAAAGGCTGCGTTTCGGAATTCAGCCGTTATCACACTCGAAAATTTACACATCATACGTCATGGCAATTCGTGTACAGATCACTGCTAATGAGGCGGCATCAAAGTAACTGTCATCTTGTGTTCAGGCCACTCCAGTGTTCTCGGTCCGACGGTCTGCAAGATTTAAAAAAAAAAAATTAAAAATAGTGATCAAGAATTATTCTCAGGACGTTCAAATTCTTAAGGCTTATATATATTCTTATATCTTCTTAATAAGTAAGATATGACATAATGTACCCCATACGTTTTAATGATGGAGGGAATATGAAATGGTTTCTGAATATCTGAAATCCAGAAATTTTTACTGATCACTACAACAAAAATTATGTAATGCTAGTCCAACAAAAATAATGCAACGCTAGCCCAAACTGGTCTGAATCAGCAAAAATTTAAACGATCTGAACTGAATTGATTAAATCTTGCATTAACAAAACAAGACATACATCGGGGGACAAAAACTTACGAAAAAAAAAAGTATACGGTTTCACTAGACGTCGCGCATAAACGCAAGAAGAGTTGTTAAGGGAATCCTCATCAAATCGTTGAAAAATTTCCACTCAAAATCACCTGGAAACCCTCAGCCAGAGCCTTCTGCACTTCAAAGAAAATGTTTTCGGCAAGCGTCGGCGTGAGAAGAACATGGAGCCACGAGCCACGAGAAGCGTAAGGGTGTGCAACGGAAGCCCAAGTGCCCTTCACTTTTTCAGCAACAAAAGTTATCACATTTCCTCCAACAACGTTGGCGTCGTCGTTCCCCACCGCCACTCCTTGGAAGGTGAAATGCCTGCCATGCATCACTCTTCCTCTGCAAAAGCAGGAGATTTCATCAGCATTAAAAATCTACAGAATATTCCTTCCAGAAAGATTGGATAAATATTCAGGAGTCGTCAAAGACGTGTTTACTGGGGGCCGCTTTTACAAAAATGGAGCCACAAGACTAAATTTTTTCACATAAATTTTGCTTGGGTTCATGTTAGAATTATGAAAAAAGGAAATGTTTCCCGTTGAAAGGTATAAATTTTTCAAGTACAGTATTCACAATTTTCCTTGACGACATGATTTGTCCAACCTTTCGAGTTTCGAAGATCGAAGTTTTTCGTAATTCTTCACACAAAAATTCATAATTCTTGGGGAAAAAGAACACACAAAATCGAGAATGCACCAAGACGAAAGTATTGAAACTTGAAAAAAAAGAGAAAAAAGTGAGCAATGATTCAAGATTTTGAACTGAAGCACTATTTTCCAGGAAGAAAAATACACTTGTCATTGGGAATGAGGGATGGACCCTGTTCATCCAGAACTCCAGCAACCAACATGGACAAAATCCAACATTATTTATACAGTAGTCCCCTTATCCTGCCTTCAGACCTTGAGTCAGAAGATTTTTTAAAAATTAAACAGAAGTTTTACATAATTTCAAAGTGCAGTAATAAGAAACATATCACAAACAGAAACCATGCCGTGGATGTTTTTTCAAGAGAAAATAAAAAACAGTTGGAAATGAACCATTTCTCTTGGAAAAATGATAAATAGACTTAGGTTTTCATTTGTTCCAACCACAAAATATTTTAAAATTACACAAGATGTAGGAAATTTTGTGCTAAAAACAATACAATTTTTTTTTTCAGAAAAATGTTCAATAGCTTGGGACACTGGTGGAGAACCCTCGCCAAAACCGGAAATATTGCACTTATCAGGCAGTAAATCTATTTTTTATAAAAATCTTAAAAGAATATCAGAACTTTACAATAGCATTGGCTAAATAACATTTTTCACAGGTACCTACTCTAGAAATACCCAAAGTCAGTCAGAGGTGGGATAAGCCTTGTACGTGGGCTTTAATTTGGATTTTTACCCAAAACAGTTTTTCGAATAGGACTTTCGAGGGCGCGTGGTACTTAAGTAATATAAATTAAATAAACAGTACAGTGCAATATAAAACTTACTGCAACGCTAAAGGGAGCAAGTTTCCGGCTTCATAATTGAAACACAGATGCACGCCGTTCAACAGCTTCGACGGAATGAATTCTAATGACTTCGCTGTGGATTCCAGATTCCCTCCAAGATACTCTCCAATGGCTTGATTAGTAGATCTTGCAACCACATCTATAGAACTGGATTTTGCCTTATACCGTGAAGAACCCGCAGTTGCGGAATCCCGCCGTAACACATTGCACAATTGCTGAGATTCCTGAGCAGAAATGCTCCTCATTCCGGGTTCTTTAAATGCTACGCTGTTATTGTGCTTCATCTGTGCTGCGGACACGTTTTCCAGATCCTGGCTGATGGCCATACAGCTCATCGATCCGGTCAACGCATCGATTCCAGACGAAGAGTTTCCATTAAACGACGCCATCGTGATGCTGTTGGCAAGCGTTTTCGTCGACGGAACTTCTCCAGCGATAGAAATCATTTCGCACCAACAACATTGCGCACTAACACCACTGAGATTCGAGCCGTCGCGCAAAATCCCGGTTCTCACGTCTTCTTTAACGGATGGGTCACACGCAAAAACGCTTTCCCTCGCGAGGTCCGTCACCAACCAGTCACCGCCACACCTGAGAAACAAGGCATTCGTTTTTTAATCACAAACCATTTGAAGACAGGTATTAAACTTAAGCTAACTTTCCATGAATAAGAGTAAAAGCTGAACTTAAAATCCTTCAGATTCAAGAACAAAACTTACCCCATCACACGCCGTATAACCGAAAGAATTTCCGGTCCGTTCCAGTGCTGTACAGTTCGCAGTTCATCATCCGTAATGCCTACGAGTTGCAAAAATTGCACACTGCCGCAAGGCGTCAGAACAACACCAAGTTGGGGATCCTCGGCAAGCAAAAAGTGTTGAAGTTGGGTCACACCGCCATCAATCGGACAATTCCATGATATGTGATCACCGACACAAAATAGGTTACCTGTAGAAATAAAATCGAGTTAAGCATAGAAAAACTTGCGACCAATAAGAGAACGAAGGAAAGGCTACTAACGAAATTTGAAGACGTAGCGCGCTAGAGCTTGCATGATAGCAGCAGGCCACGTGGGGGGAGAATCTTCTTCGGGCAATGATTTCAATCGGAATGAAAGTTCGAATCCGAAACCGGAAGGTTGGTTCGGCACTTGATCCCCTAAATTCCTAGCATGGACCCGGCCATCTCCATGCAAGTCGCTCAAACCAAAACTAAAAAAAAAACAATTGCGGAATAACATGCATCATTACACAAATTGCACTCGAACCTCTACGACTCGAACTTCAAGGGACCAGCAAAATAATTCAAGTCAGGAAGGTTTCGATTTAGGGAAAAATCTTTTTTGGTGAGGAAAAAAATATGAATTCTACTATTCTATTGGAGATATTCTGGACTTTAAATTAATTTTCAAATGGGTTGACAGGATGCTGTACCTAGAGTCAAGGGTTCATTTGCTAATTAATCTTTCACTCCCTTACAAGGCACATAGAGTTACATTTTTATCGCAGTTATTTTGTCTCTGTCAAAATAATGGCAAAAGGCCTCCAGAAAAAAACGAGTTATGGATTTTTGAGAAGGGAAAGCATAAAAATTCGACATGGGAAGATTCGCGTTTTCGAGATTCAACTGCGCTTTGAAATGCACGCGTCACGTTTGAAATCAATTTAGAAAGCATCAGTTAGTAAGTGGAGAAAAAATAAAATCACCATACCTGATATAATGCCAATGTGCAGGCGTATCAGTGACGGGATCCCCAGGATTCGCGTACATGCTGATGTAATCTAATGGATCAGGGCCACCCAACCTTCGAAATAAATTTCATTTTCAATAACTCCGAAGACAGACGTGCAAACGAATTTCTCACCAATACTTCACAACAGCATTAACTTGCAACGGATTCGGTTGGTCAGGATAAGTGGCGCGACACGCTTCGAACAATGCCGCCAAACCGGGCGGTGTAGCCGGAGGATGAACCGAAATCCGAGCACCGTGAGGAAGCGCGGTCTCCATTACGTCGGGAAGCGCGGGCTCTAAAATTTTACTCAAGCCCAACGATCTCGCCATATCCGCATTAGCACTTAAAAAACTCCATTTCACTTATTGATTCACCAGGGTACTAGGGGAAAAAAAATTAAAAATCAGGCTACACCAAAACAGAAACAACTTAAAAATGGTCACACTTCAGAGTGCAAAAAACGTTTCTTTGTTGAAATAACAAACAAGCAAGTCAAAAATTTTCGCCTCCGCGTAAAATTCAGCGAAGAATTCGAACACACATGAGGATGTTCCCGATGATACAAAATATTCATAGTTTCTTACGTATTTGAGGGAAGCTCACATCGCAATATCCTTGCAAGGACGGATTGTATGAACATTCGCATGTATGCAATATAGCTGAATACACGTTAAGAAATACTGCGCACAGAACATACCGAGACTCATCAATCGTAATGATGTGCGAAAGTCATACTAAATAACACAGAGATCCGTCTATAAAACTTACTATACGAAATAAGCTCACGCATATTTGGAATTACAGCTTATCTCAGAACTTGCGCAGTGGAAGACGGATCTGGACCTCCGGAGGAAGTTGACAACCTCTTCATAAATCGCCTCATTTCAACAAGAAACATGGTTCCAGCAATGATCTCAAGGATCACAGCAACAACTGCGAACGCGAAGGACCAACTCAGATAGTTGTGCTCCCAGTGAGGCATGAAGTCCCTTGAGTCACCAAGCGCGCCGAAGATGATCACCGCGATCGTACCACACACACCTGAAGAATAACGCATATTTCTTGAAACATTCCGGGTAATTACTGCAAGGAAACTTACCGGCACCAATAAAACCGCTTCCAATTATTCTCAATGCCAGGATTTCTCGATCCGGGGGGCAAAAGAAGTTGAACATTATCACTCCAACGGACATGAAGATCGTAACGACGAACGAGAAGGTGAAGAACGTCTGAGTTGCAGTGAGGAAAGCTGTACGACAAACAATTCAATACAACGAACCAGGCAATTAACATCAGCAAAACTTACGAGGATGAATGACGTCACTAATGAAATGTAGCTCTTCGTTGAAAATCCAATAACAACCTAGAAACTTCCTGTCGTACTCAAATTCAGGGTCTTCAAAATATTCCAAGCATACCTCCCATAGACCTGAACAACGATGAAAAAAATTCAACTCGAAAATTCGAACATAATGCATCCACGAGATTCACCTGATCTTATAAATTTTGGATTCGGCAGCATCCCATCATTTTCGACCCATGCAGGCGTAGAAAACGCAATTATAACAACAACACATGAGATCAGCGACAACCAACACGCCGATGTAAGATTCCGACTCATACGACCTTCACCCATTGCGAATCGGTACACTCAACTGAAAATCCATAGAATACAGGCAAGCTTCACGTATTTTCACAGTCCTCGTCAGTCGTCACGGATAAGAATCCCAAGCCACGGTAACGGCGTGATACACGCAGTGAAACCAGCCTACCGCACAAAACGCAAGTACTTATCGCATTTGGTAGAGAAAAACGCTCAATACAGGCCAAAATCAATGTCGTTCAACTCCTTAATTCACTCAATAACGTTTTTAGCTTGTTTCGAACGTCGGATCGCCGCAATTGCGGCGAACGGTCGAACGCCGTAATTTCAATAAACCCAACGGAGCAACCATATGCAAAGTTTTCACAGAGCTGCGTGCATTGACCCCATAGTGCTTCACAAAAAAACGCATATTGTACGATGACGCATTAATCTCCGCCGCGATTTTATTATTCTTCGACTCATTCAGCAAATTTACAGCAAAAATGCTAGGATTTGAATAAGTTTCTCGCCGCATTTCTGAATACAGATTTGGAGCGTTTCGCCTCGAAGGGTGCTGGTACACATCCTTTCCGTAATTAGTGTCATTCACAACCGTCAAACCCGCCCGCGACTTGACCAAAGCTTCCATTGCTTTCGTACCAATTTTCACGCAGCTCACAACAAACAATCGCTGTAATTTCGGGAAAATCCTCTTTCTGCCGATGTCTTCGATCGTTTCCCGTGTTACATTTTTGAAAAATTCCAGCCTTAGAGAAGTTAGATTCTGTGTTTTCTCCGAGATTGTCGCAACTCCGGCGTCTGAAAACTGAGAGCCTGCGTTTTCTGACTCCAGTCCAAGGTGTCTTAAATTTGGAAGCCACAACCTTTCGCCGAAATTATCGTTAAAGTGCAAACTGGACACTGTCAAATGTATCAAGTGCGGAAAGTTCGTCTCGTTGAGATTTTCACTCAAAACCGACGCGTTCGTAAAGCTGACCAACTTGAGGATGACCAGTGAATTGAGCTGCCTGATCTGAAAAAGTCCTCCGACATATTCCAAATAGCTGATGCCCAGTGCTTGTAAACGACCGAAATTTTTAGCAAAATCTGATTTTTTGTCCAATGCTGTGCCTTCTAGCCGATGTGCGTGGAAGTACAAAGCATTTAAGGTGCTGCCAACTTTACGTCCCAGCATCAGCAGCTCTGAGTCTGTCATGAAAGGCACTTCCAGAAGACGCAATCCGGGACAATGGGAGCTGTCGGTAGCATATATTTATATTCATGTAAGCAGGAAGAAGCTTTACTGCAATTTCTAGCCTGGTTTGATGGAAATTCCTATTTTAAAAAAGTATACAAGTTTCCCCTAGATTTGAATTCCCATTTTAATTTCCGTGGATGATTTCACACAGGAAAAAACTTCATCTTTATAAATTGAAATTTCCAAAATATTCAAAACACGTTGATTGTGTATAACTAAATTTCAGAAAAAAACAATAATTTATGACTTTTGCATAAAAAATAATATTTTAGGACTTTTGCATAAAAAATAATATTTTATGACTTATGCATAAAAAATAATATTTTATGACTTGCATAAAATATCATTTCCCCTACAAAGTACTGTATTTATTTCCTGTGATTACTCATTTGTAATTTAATTGCTGAAAAGATACAGTATCACATTCACTGCTGCCTGTACAAGATTCAACCTAAATCATAATTTCAATTAATCGATTTTGAGGAATAAATTGCTACAGCCGGTATTCAAAAATCGTAAGCAAAAATGAAAGAATTCACTCTCATTTTTAAATCCCTTAAAAAATATATTATGAAGTTAGCAACAAGAACAAAACTCATTTCTCATACAGTATATTAATAAATCCCGGGCCATTCATCTTTCAGTATCTGGGTTAATAAGGCGTCACGATATTTGTGCTACAGTATAAGCATTACCTGATTGTGTCCATGACCTGAGGGCTATCTTCCACAAAAGAATCCACAATTGACACGGAAGATAGTCCCGCAAATTTCCAAAGATAACCTAGGGTCATGAGGTCCAGGAATTGCATGTATTGCAATTTGATGACTTTGAGATTCGGGCACTTGTCTCCAATGGCTTCAATGAGTGCTATTTCTGAGCCCAAGTTCACTTCGCAAGAAGCATAGAAAATATTATGGAAGGACAACGTGGCCAATGGAGTGATTTCAGAAGGGGTTTCTTTGCTGAACTTGATCCGAACCTGCCAGGAAGTAAATTCCTTGAATGAATGCTTCAAAAGGCCTGTCTTGGATTTTCAGAAATGAATCAACCAACAGATGTGAGAGAGTCCGCGAATCGGAAATATCTCTGAAACATTGCCTTGGGGTCGTTGGGCGGGTGAATGACGATAATTTCTTTCTGGTGCCAAAGAGCGACATCTGCAACTACTCTACGCCAGGATCTGCAGCTTTTCGCCGCAGCAAAACGGTCTTCCACACTCAAGCTATGGAAGATTCTGAACAATACCTCGTCTGGAAACACCTGATTTTCGCCTCGAGGTAGAGCCTCTGGATTCGTAGCAAATCCCAGTGTTCGAGCCTCGACTGCATCGAACCATTCTTCAGACTCCTCGTCGTCGTCACTATTCATTAATTTAAAATCTCTGTACAGTAGAAGCCGATCCCCAACAGCAGTGACTTCTACGATTGTTATAGGAAACGCGGAGGAATTTTGCAGAGGTTTTCGGCTATCTTCCGAAAATCTGACATAAACTAGCTTTTATCGACTTCATCACGTGGAGGTACACTCGAAGGGCTTTCTGTTCCTTCTCGAATAGAGGTCGCTCACAGCTCGACAAAAAGTACTGTACGCCGTACAATGCTGTACTGTATAAGAAACTTCGCGAACGCATCAGGCGTGGATCGACTCGCGTGAGAATTGTAATACAGTACAGTACAGCTAGTACAACACCGAGGTGCTTCTGTCGAGAAGTGACGTGACATCATATCCGTTACATTAACTAGCACTGTGCCGTGCCGGGCAATCAATTTTCGAGCAATAATTGAATGTGAAGCATTTCTAGATATTCCAGTGAAGGAATTCCAGAAATCGATCACTATACTGTACTCTCTGCGTCATCATTGCTGTACATCTATTACACATACGCTTTTTTTGTTGAGACACGTGATGCGGATGGTTTCGCTGCGTTCCGTCGAGCTAGATGTAGTATGGCTTCACTGTGTGTATGGGACTCGTGCAAAGGGGCTCCAAGAAATGTCTTCAAGAAAAGCAGAGGGGTTCCAAGAAATTTCTTCAAGAAAAGCTAAGGGGATGAGATTAGGAAACCGTGGAAACGCTAGCATCCAGGATGGGGGTATAAAAGCAGTAACCGAAGTCGCAGACCAACAGTGCAGACGCTTGTTCGCTGGAGTATTTCGAAATTCGAATTTGCTTCAGTCTTAAAAAGCCGCCTGCTTGATTTCGCTTGCGAGAAAACTTTTTTGAAGTGTTGCGCCGGAGAAATCGAATCCAAGTTTTTGCTCTACTCGACGCTCGAAAGGATTATAACAAAACGTTAAGGTAAGTTTATACCTACGGAAGACATTATTACATATAACGCAATATCCTGCGAACTTTGAAATATTGCCCGTGAGCGCAGAATAACAATAACTTACTCTTCTGTTCATTGCGGAAAACGAAAAAATTCTGTGTTGTAGTGGATCTTTTGAAATAATTTTTCCTCCGTGGAAATCGTTCTGTTGTAAGATGTCAGGAGAACCCACCTTTGACGCTTACACCTGGGGACAGAAGGCGAACATCATGATGCCCGGAAACAATTTGATGATGGGAGGCGCAGGGATGATGATGGCCGGCGGTTTCAGCAACGGATCCATCGTGGACAAGGTACCACAAGACATGCTGTACATGGTGGACCCGCACTGGAACCAGTTCCCACCGCTGAACCCTCTCATGTACTCCCTGCTCGCCTTTGTCATCACCATCATGGGCTTCGTCAGTATCGTCGGCAACTTTGTCGTCATGTACGTGTTCATGTCCACTCGGAGCCTCAAGACCCCATCCAACTTGCTCGTTGTCAACTTGGCCTTCTCCGACTTCATCATGATGGTCTTCATGTTCCCGTTCATGGCCGTGTCCAACTTCTACGAAACCTGGGCTTTCGGTGAGACAATTTCTGAAGACCTCTTCTCTCTCTTGTATTCCTCAATAAATTGTTCCCCCCTAAGGTCCCCTGATGTGCGAGCTGTACGCATTCATCGGATCTCTCTCCGGTTGCATGTCAATCTGGTCCATGGCCATGATTGCCATGGATCGGTACCGAGTTATCTGCAAGGGAATCTCTGCCAAGCCGATGACGTACAAGAATGCTCTGGGCTCGATCCTGTTTGTCAACATGGCTTCCTTGATCTGGTGCCTGGCTCCATTCTTCGGCTGGAACCGATATGTGCCTGAAGGAAACATGACTGTGTGCGGAACGGACTCCATGAGCGAGGACTGGTTGAGCCGTAGCTACGTCATTGCTTATGCCGCCTGGGTCTACTTCCTGCCTTTGCTCACCATCCTCTACTGTTACTTCCAGATCGTCAAGGTTAGTAAAGATATGAGAATGTCTCACGGTGGGAACAAAATTGATGCAGGCAATATAATTCCTAAATAGAAATACGAGTGGAGTATTTTTATACCGGAAATCAAGACTACGCCGAATTGAGACCTGGATTATTTGAGACAAAAAACCTTTCGAGACAGAGACAATTCAAGACAGAAACATTTTGAGAAAGAGACTATTTGAGACAGAAACTACAGTAATCAAACAGAAACTTTCTGAGACAGAGCCTATTTGAGGCTGAAGATGCGGACTACCATAAAGAAATTTGGGTTGAATGGACGAATACTTTTTGAAAGGAACTTCTTCCAGTATTTTAGAGTCACTAAAATGGGATGTGCATCTTGCTTGGGGATAAAATTCAATCAAATGTTTAGACTAAAGAACCTGGCGTGTCTTACTCAAGGGCGCATGGGGCTTGAGTAAATTTGTTGCACAGTACAGTATTTCAAAATTCTGCTTGTGCGCAACCAAAAGTAAGGCCCAGCTGACACCATCATGATCTGTTCAACTTCTTTTCTGCTGAATTTAATCCTTTGGCTCTGATAATATCTCTTGAAGGTTCACCATAATTATCTGCTTGTAAATGATTTCACTGTTTTTTAAATTTTATTTGTTATACTGTATATCTAAAAAAAAGTATGCATTGTAATTTTCTATTCTATTTCATGTGACAGGCTGTTGCTGAGCATGAAGAGCAGATGAGGGAACAAGCACGAAAAATGAATGTCCAGAGCTTGCGATCTTCTGATTCCGCAAAGGCCAGCGCCGAGATCCGTCTTGCCAAGGTATAATGTTGCTCAATCTTGTATATGCGGTACTGTATTTACGTCCTATTCATTATTTTATATAGGAATAATGTGGACTAATGTAAAAGCTTTTATAAAATGTTGAAAAATTATTTTGTTTCAATCATGCTGAAGCAATTTTCATTTGCCTTTAAGTATGGATCACTCTGGTAATTTACCTTAAAATTGGAATTGCTATTCTGATTGGGCTTATAATATGGGTCCTCTAAATTAAAGTCCGTACAATTCTTTGAGCAAGTTGAGCGTATACTTTTTGACCGTCATAACTTGAACCTCATGTACCAAATAGAAAACCTTGCTATGTCCAATTTTGATTCACTTGCTTTTTCTGAATAATTCCCTTCATGAAAATGTATTATAGACATCTCTAACTCACAGACTTACTTCCTCTAACCTTATATAACTGTTCGTAAGGCTAATATTCTGGAGACCCAAGAAAGAGAAAGACAATAAAAAATCAACTTGATATTTTTTCAAAAGGACCCCAGGAATAATTATGCAAATTAACCCTAGCCTCAGATTACTTTAACATCCTGTCAGCTCATTTGAAAAGTAGTAATCCCAGAGGTTCGCCAATTTATCTTCACGTATATTTGTAGTCTTTTCAAGGAAAATTCTAGTTTTCCTGGCTTAAAAATCTCCAAGTCAATTGTTTGTGGGAGTTTGACAAATATATTCCAATGTGTAGCTCTCACACAGGGCTGCTGACAAAGATTCAAGACAGCTGAAATGATGATCAATCAGAGTTTTCTGATGACAGTATTGACAAGACTTTTTTGATGATGAAATTTTTTCATCTCTCCATTTAATTTTTAAATCCATGCCTCGATTTACCATACGTAGATTGCAATGATGACCATCTCTCTGTGGTTCATGGCCTGGACCCCATACCTCATCATCAACGCCCGAGGCATTTTCAACAAGGAATCCGTAACACCTTTGTTCACTGTTTGGGGCTCGTTGTTCGCCAAGTGCGCGGCTGTCTACAATCCAATTGTGTACGGCATCAGCCACCCCAAGTACAGAGCTGCCCTCTATGATAAATTCCCGTGCCTGGCTTGCACCACGGAGGCCGATGATGAGGACGAAGTCCGCTCCACCGCCACTGTTGAAATCGCATCCACCATCAAGTGTGAAGAGAAGGCTTGAAGAGCGACATCTTGTGTGATGTACCCTTCTTTGTGATCAACGTCAACTGCTGAAGTTCGCATTGACTTGCTTCTTCAGTTGAGGAATTTATTGGGTTTCATTCCTTTGTGTCCCTGTTATCATTGGTGGTTGTGCCCCTGCTATAGTAGGTACTCTTTTTTTTTGGGTTTGTTGTTAAATCATTTCGGTGCGTCGTTGTGAGAAAAATGCTTGGAGAAAATTAAAAACCTTGCGCATGCAATACATTGTCAAATTTATTCAGCTGAAGTCAAGACAATCCCAAAACAGTACAGTACTTCACAAAAATGCTGCATATACCGGTGAAAAAAATTGTGCCAAAAGTGAACGTCTTTACAATGAATTTACAAGGCTCAAATTAACTTTTTATGATGACATAACTACAGAAATGAATAAATTGTCCCTTTCCATGTCCTTTTTGATGATCATGTAAAAAAATTACAGTAAAAGAAAAATGTAGAAACAACATTTCCCATCAGCAAAATTCTTTCACAATTCAAGCACGAAAGTTTCCTCGGTGTGCAAATTTTCCCTGTGACATTTCTCATTTTTGTATCTGATTTTGTCAGTTTCTTAAAATTAAAATTTAACGTACTGTACTGTTCAATATTGTTTCAACATCGTGATCTCTTGAATGGCTGCTTCGGAGAAATCTTTAAAGCGAAGTTCATAAATAATGATACAATTATCGTTAGAGAAACAACGGAAGGATAAAACCCCACCTCATTTTGTCATGAATCAAGCGAAAATTTTTTTAATGTTCTGATACAGGAGTTCATAAAAAGTGTGTTCGCTTGAAACATACGTCATAATTGTCTCTGCTGAACTTCACGCAAACCTCCTGGAATATAGTATTTCGAATCACTGTGCATATAATCCTGTCCCGTGGATTCTCGGAATTTTATGATACAACGGTGGAGGGAGGATCCACGAATTCGAAATCGGAAATATTTGTTAAACATCCCCTTCATCGGATTTCTGTTCGGGCGATGAAGTGAATGACGATTTCTTTTGGGTGCGGAAGAGCGACATCTGTAGTTCTTGCACCAGGATCTGCCGCTTTTCGACGAGGCAAAACCATCGGGTTCATGTCCCGGGGTTATATTGGAAGGGTCTTCATCTCTCTAATCTAAATAATAAAGGACTTCTCTTGGAAAGACCTGACTTTCGCCTACTGGTAGAGCCTCTGTTATATAGGAGCACTTCGGAGTTGGTATTCGGGGCCTGGACCGCATTGAACCATTCTCGAAACTCTTCATCATTGTCTCAACTCTTCATATGTTTAAAATCCACATCAGAAGCCAATCCCTGTCGATCACTGAGTCTGCAATTCTACTGGCATTGCGACCGATAGAAAATGTGAAGGAATTTTGTAGAGGTTTTCGGCAATGCTGAGAAAAATTGATCAAGCGCTATTACTGACCTCTCTATACCGGGGCACAATCTGAGAACATTTCATGTATCTACAAGAGTAGAGGTCGCTCGCAACATCTCAATGACGCCCGCATTTCTTTTGCGTTCATTTTCTGCGGGCAAGATTGAGCCATTCTGTGACTACATATTAAATTATTAATCTCCAAATCACGTCACCTCGTCATCTTTAATCTCCAGCAAAAATCTGAATGACAATTTTACTTGCAGCACTATATGCAAAATACCCCAGCAAGATTATTATTGTATGAAACTGACGGAATTCTTGTTCACACCTTTTTGGGACCGGAAATACATTCAAGGTCTATAGACCACCTTACTTTACTGCAGCTAGTCGTGTGAGCTACTGTGACGTGGTCAATCGATCCCTTAGAATTATATTTCAAGTTGAACATGCATTAAAAATAGGAATTTCACACAACCACGTGCACTGCATTCATTCATTAGCCCAAATTCTCTAACATGAAATATGTATGTAAATTTCAAAAAAATAGTACTGCGAAAAAACATCGTTCCGGCCCCCATTCTAAAAAATTTATATTAAGGATTTTATGTGAAAATTAGATAGGAATCGCCAAATAAGATGGGAGGACAAAACAAAAATGATAGATTGGGATACAAAAATTGACTTACTTTTATTATTGCAGCAACCATTAATGGTATACCAGTTGATCATTTTGTTATAAGAAATCATTTCTTAGCAAAACTTGTTTTCCCTTTCCCAATAATTAGAATGTTAATCAAAATTATTTATAACAAATTTTTTGTTGTTGTTATGATGAGGCATCTTTTATCAGGTCCCGGAAAGAGATTAATCAACGTTCATCACAGGTTCCTGATGGTCGGAGTTGCAATAAATAAAAAAGAAAACCATAGAGATGATGTTCACATCAATAACCTGTGTGCATGCTTGCCAAACCGCCACCGCGGAAATGGCGCACACGCGTCAGAGGGGGGGCGCCGCCGCAAACGGGGGTCATCCGGCGCCACGGGCACCAACGATTCCGATTCATCGGGGGCAATTGCCCAGGAAAATAAAATAAAATGAACCCCCTCACCAGGACCACAAAACAACAGATTGCCTCACTTACACAGTTACACTACCTGGCAGGATTGGTACAGTTGTTTGAGAAGGACGCCAACTTCTGTCTGACATGAGCTGGTTGATATACATATTGGGGGGTAAAAATGAGGCTCACCCCCCCCCCCCACTTCTGGTCCCACCAGATTCCTCATGAGATTAGCTGTTTTGCTGATTGGGGTAAATCCATGTTTCTACAAACATCCCTTACTTTAATTTTTGACAGCAGTGATGAAAGGATAAGCAAACCTGAAAGATTTGCTTTGCTAATCCTCTGAGTTAGATGCTGGGCTAAATTTTCCTATACATATTTATCCTTCTGCCAATTAATGGCTAGGGATAACATGCTATTGTTGTCACCTCTGGGTTGAATGACTTGAACCTATAATTTGTGTATGCATAAGTGTCGGATGTCCAGTTTTATTTTGTGGAGTGTGTTCTCTCTTTTGTTTTTGTCATTGGTTTGTCATTTGTTTCATGCTTTGAAGTGATTGAATGTCTTTGGGGGGAGTTGGGTTGGGGGGGGAGGGGGTTTGGATGCGGGAGTCTTGTTTGTGCCTTGTGAACGCTGAAGGGGGTTTGTATGCGGAAGTCTTGGTTGTGCTTTGTGAACGCTGAAAAGCGGCAAATAAAGTGTTCTGTTCATTCATTCATTCATAATTTGTTGCAGTTTTCTAACAATTAACCACAAAAAATGACCCAAAGTATCCAGAATAGACAGATGGTGTGGATGAAAACTATACCTAAGCAACATATTTCTTCTTTTCTATTTTCAATTTAAAATTTTGTCTACAAATTCTCTGTTTTACTGAGCGTGAAATTTACAGCTGAAAAATGCATTTAATCATAATTTTGATATTATTTGAAGGGGGATACAATTGAAAATGATTTTCAAGTACAATCAAACCTCTTCAAGTCAAATTTCAAGGGACCAGCAAAAAATGGAGATTTAAGTTAGGGAAACAAGAGTGTTTTTTTGGGGGGGGGGGGGAATCAAATGAAATTGTAATTGGTGATATTCTGGGCCTTAAATTGCTTCTTGAAAGAGTTGACAGGATGCTGAACTTGGAGGCAGGGGTTTATTTGCCCAAAGCAATCCTTCACTTCCTTTAAAAATGCATTGAAGTCCATTTTTATTGCTTTCCTCTTTCCTGTGTCAATAAAATAATAGTCAGAAGACCTCCAGAAAATTAAGAGTTATGGAGGTTTGAGGATAGCCTTGCAATTTGGGAGGTTTTTCATGCAATGTTCCTATAATGGAATTTACAAAGGGAATTTTAAAAAAATTCAAAACAGAGATATTTGACTTGAGGAGATTTGAGTTTTCAAGGTTCAACTGTAAATTATAAAAAGTGCACACCAATGTTTTTTGCACGTCACCCCTGATTTTTTTATACTTTTCTTTTATTTATTTTTTATATTTTCAATTTACAAGCATTTCATAACCCGGCTGCTACCGTGAACTTCAATTTCGTCCCCCAAAAGGCAACCATGATCCAAGTAAACCTTTTCCTTTGTGCAATTTACAACCCCCCACCCGCCACACTTTTTTCGTTTTTGTCTTGCGGTGTTTACGAGCAAGATGGCGCGAAAACACACGCCAGCTATTAGGCTCGTCCATCAACGCAATTTCCGATTGAAAGCCAGTGCGCAACCCGTGTGTATGTGGGGGGGGGGGGGGGGGGGGGAAANTGTGTATGTGGGGGGGGGGGGGGGGGGGGGGGGGGGGGGAATTAAGCAACGTTCAAAGCCAGCAGCTCGCAACAAACAAGGCGTTTGAATGGGGCACGGGTATCCCAACGTTTTTCGGGGACTCAATTTCTTGCAAAATAAAACAATACAGGGCCGGTCAATGGAGAGTCATGATATTGTGGATCAAAATATATATTCAAAAGTGATGAAAGGAACACAGAATCAGCCAGGAATCCTAGGTAGAATCTCTAATTAAATTTAGATTTGCATTTCAAATTGTCCCAACAATTGTTCAAGAATTTAAGAACTTAAGTTCAATACACAAAAATGACAATCACACAAAACCTCTTGGAAAGCTCTAGACTTCCTGAAGACACAAATGTTTCAAATGACAGCTCATGAAAGACTGATAGATATGTGTATGAAAAAGGGATTTTTATCAATTATGATTATCAATTATATTAATTGAAGGTTTTTTATTAATCATTAATTATTGTTTTCATTAATTTTATTAATTTGGGTGACTGGCCTTGATCCAGTAATCTGGCTGGAAATCAGGCAATTTTTAGAAGCCTGGGATTGGCCAGAAAAGTCAAAGTCAAAGACAATTCTGGGTAAAGAAAGCCTTGGAGGAAAGTTCTCAAATTTTCCTGGTTTTTAAGGGGCTCTTGATTTTACCAGTTTTCTGAGTTTATTGTTGGGCGGTTTTCCACCTCATGATTTCCTGCCTTGATTTATTAGGCACGCATCACACTCAGTGGTGCAGTGGGTCCCAAGCATAGAGCAAGGCCCGCCTCACACACATTTTCACAGTTTTCATTCCAATTTAAATCAATGTATTTGTATTTCATGTTGTATTGTATTTTCTTCTATTTTTTGTTAGCAATTTGTGCTTTCCTGCTCTGAAGTGATTAAAATGTCATTGAGTGGATTTGGGTTGGGTGGGAAGGGGGTTTGGTTGTGGGAATCTTGATTGAACCTTGTGAACGCTGAAAAGTGGCAAATAAAGTGTTCTGTTCATTC